TGCACATGGGGGAAACCCTAAAGTTGGTTGTGTTGCTTTAGGGAGCAGATACAACAGCATGACAAACTTTGCAAACAATTTCCTTTAGCCCGACGTCCATCAAATATAAGCCAAAAAACCTAAATTGTCCTACCTTACTTCTCAACCAACAGCGGGCCCTTCTGCTAGTGTTTTTAATCGCTTGCTCCTCTTAGTGATCCACACACATCGCAAGCTTGCTGCAGCTGCACGTAAGGGGGTGCATTCAAGGTGTTCTCCCAGCACATGAACTTACATACGCGCCGCACCGTGCAGCACATTCATTGTCTTTCTTCGACTATAATGTTTTTATGATCGTGAGAAGCCAAAATCGAAATCATGATTAAAATTCGTTGAATCGTCAGGCACTACTGTGAGGTTTCCTTAAACAGGCAGTTATATCTACCACAAATAAACTTTCTCTTGCCACTGTCTTGGATTGATGGTACATGCACAGTGCATTTCAACAACAAGTTCCGGCAAGAAGCTCAGTGATCCCCCAATCCTCCACTTCAGCTTTATTTAACTTTCAAAAATATCCAATCATGATTTGAGCACGGCTGGATGTGAAAGGTCAGTCAGCTGACCTGAAAAAGTCATGCTGTCACTGCTTCCTTATTGTCCAAGAACATTTTTTTGACATCACTTTAATGTAGCCATAAACCAGCCTCTGCAGACAGCGTCTGTATCTGTGCAGCATGACCTCAGAGTGTGAATATGCATGCACATCACCACGCTGCTAACGTCAAAGATGCTCAGAAATTATTTGAAGCTGCACAGATTAGACAGTGTTGTGCCGCTCAGTGCTGTTCAGTGTTGTGGGCACATTTCCTGACCGTTGACATTATAGGACACCAGGATGTTAACTTTGAGCATCACCTGCGATGTGTGCTCAGTGTAGTGCTGTTGTCGGACTACTGGACACTGTGATATAAGTGGGAGGTAAAAATTAAAAACAGAAAATTACTAAAAGATCCAGAGTCATTTTTTATTGTCTCTCTAGTCTCTGCATTTATCTGATATACATTCCCCAGGTTTTTGCCATATCCTTATATGCATTGCAGAAAGGAAAAAGTAATCTCAAGATTGGATTTTTTTCCAATAATGTGCCGCTCTACTGCAAAGAGCCTGCATTTCCTGCATACATCAGAGCCTGCTTATATTTATATATGTTTGATGTAAAACAGACACACAAACAGGATCAAGAACACTTCCCATACTGGAATCCCGGCCCCTTCGACCATGTCCTATACTGTTCCGCTAAAGTCAAGTTCAATAATCACTGAGTTCACTGCTGCTGTCATGCTGCTGTTCAGTTTCTGGGGTCAGTTCCTAGACTTTAATGGATCAGCCCCTTAAAGTCTGCATCTACACACTGGATGTGTAAATAGCAGAGCCACTTGTCTAGCCCCTGTGCGCTGGACATGAGCAGAGCTTAAGTGCTGACAGCAGGTCTCACCCTCCATCTGCCACTGGGCGGGACCTTCAGTCCCTCTGCAGAGAGGGAGAGAAAGAGGCTGGGTGATGGACTGTAATGTATGAACTCCTCACACCGAATAAACTGACCCCAGCAAGTGAGTAAGCGAGCGCTATCTTTCCTCATCAAACCCCGATCCAACTCCCTTTCCTTGGCTCCTTTCAGCTTCCTCCCCCTCCTCTCGTCCTTTCTCATTCCTGCACCGATTGTCTCCCTTTCATTCATCACTCACAACATTCACCCCTCTAATCCCCTTTCCTCAGCACGCCGTGCCATAACAGCCTGATTCCTCCACCTATTTCCAGAGAGAATCCATTAAATCTCCCCATCCTCTCTCCTATCTCCATCCACAAATTCAATTCAACAGGTCGCCCATGCCGCCAAATATTCACAGTCGGTTTGCGTCTCCCATTTAAGATCATCACAGGGTTCCTCAGCCAGTCATTGACTCTGAACCTGGGATTATCACAGAGGAGTCGCTTCGCCTGTGTGGGTAGCAGCACACAGAGAGAGAAGAAAAAGCTCTAACACGCCTTTTTCTTTCTATCTCTTAAGAAGCCAACAGTGGATGGTATATTTCTTTTTATTTTTCACACCTTCAGGCACAAACAGCCCACACCCCGCTGTTGAGCACCATAAGCGGGATTACATAAGTGTGATAACTAGCAGAGAGGAGGCTGGGGTGGCGAGGGGATATTAGCCGCTCTGGAGACTGGAGGAGGATAAGGCAGGAGATACCCACCGCAACATCTTCTCTGCTTGGTTGGCTTCCCACGACTGGCTCAGTGTCAGCCCACTATCAGCCCGGGGAGGGAAGGATGGGGGAGGCATGGTGGCTCAGAGGAGGAGTGGGGAGGGCAGAGTAAGAATAAGACCACGGGCTGATTAGGGGAAGCGACAGAGAGACAGAGGAAGGAGGGAGGGAGAGATAGATGGTAGAAAGGTTAGGGGGGAGAAAGGGAAGCTGAGAAATGTTCCATCCCTCTGGCCATAGTCCTGACGATGCCAGGATAGAGATGTCAGACCACATCCTGTCTGCCGAGGGAAGGGACGGAGAGCCCGGATCAAGCAGCAGACAATTAGACTTCAAGCCACCATCACATTTCTGCCTCTCTCTTTCTATCTTCCTCTTTCGTCTATCTTTACATCCCCCCATCCCTGTTCTGTGCATCCCCAGAGCTATCCAATGTCAGCACTTGATCCTCCTCTGTTTTCACAAGCTTCCCGGAGGCCGATCGAGTGTCCCCCTCCTAGACTGCAGCGGGACGAGATTCAGTGTTGACCTCAGAAGGTCAGAAAGCTCGCCTCCATCAAATGAAACCCTAAACCCTCCATTTGCCTCTTTCAGTCCCTTTTTCTCTCTTCTACTTCAGCCAAAGCACTTTACTTGCTCTAAGCCGATGTCACACAATTATCCTCACTTTTCACAAATCATACACATTTTCAGCCGTTTGATGGCTACTGAAGATGCAATTTCTCTGTCATTTTGCTGAGTGCAAGCCAAACCTCCCAGGGTGACCTTTCTGGGCCAGAAAATCAGAAATAAGTGTGTTTTACCTTGATGTCTTAAAAACAAGGTCTTTCTTTACCAATTACCCTGAGAAAAAATAGGTATGATTGTTTATCTTAATGCTAAATGATTGGAATTGTTAAATCGATGCGTTAAATTGAGACCGTTAATGACAAATACGATGAAATGTTAGAGAGTTGGTGCAGATCAACTGAACTCTAACATGATAATCGTCATATCGTCAAAGTCGAAGAAAGTTTGAAACTTTTGCAAAACAAATATATAACATGGACATAAATATTCACAGTGTTCGCTCAGTCCTTTATAGATGAGCCTTTGGCAGCAGTTACAGCCTCACGTCTTTCTGAGAATGATGCTACAAACTTGGCAGACCTATTTTTGGGCAGTTTCTCCCCTTCTTCTGTGGAGAACCTCTCCAGCTCCGCTAAGTTGGATAGGGAGCGTTGGTGCACAGCCATTTCCAGATCTCACCAGAGATGTTCAATTGGGTTCAAGTCTGGGCACTGGATGTCATGACCAATTTTGTAAACTATGCCATCAACAACATTCCTCCTCCTTAAGGCCCACCTGCTGCAAAAACTGGATCACGTGGGAAAAAATCACTTCTCCATGATAATAAAAGAGAGTCAACAAAGCCTGCATGAGAAGAACAAGAAAGCTGCTGGTACCAGAGAGCAGAGGTACAGGTGTGTGTTGTGGAGAGATGAAGGGTTAAAGGGGATCAGATGTTCTTGCAAATGGTAAAAAATAAGTGAAATGACAACAGGAAAATGATCACTGACTCATTTGAAATAGATGTTTGCAGACTGAGTCAGTTTACTCATTCTTTCCTCAAAAATAATGACATCTATGAGTCATTTTGTCTAATTAATCACAAAACCTGCAAGAAACAAGATCTTTTTTTTTTCCTGTGATCTGACAGCTCAGTCATTTAAATCTGCAAACTGTGCTGCTCATAGATGCTCACAGTGCAGTCGAAAGCATTTCTTCTTCTTCCGCTCAGCAACAGTAAATCTTTCCTACTCACCATTTATCTCAGCATCTTTCCCCGTCTCTTTCACGCTGGGTAAACAGTTTTCCAGGTAAACTCCATTGTGATAACAGCTATCCCCCTCGCTGAGCTGTGGTGGTGGGTCCCAGCACAAACACGGAGTCTGCATGATGCCGCAGGGCCTGTTAGACGTGCTGGAGGCCAGACAGTCCTCCAGCCACTGACACAGCATCTGACAGGCCGCCATGCTTGGGTTACGCTTCCCCACTACGAGGAACTCCGTTTTGAAGTCCCCGTTGCCGTCTGTGTCGGATGAGCCCGCCCTGGGGAGTCCCTTTCTCATCTGGAGGAACTGCTTTCCGGCTTCCAAGAAGGCCACAGGGGCGGAGGTGTCGCAGAGCCGCACCACCTCATTAAAGCTCTCCATGCCCAGGTATGTACGCGTGGTTTCCAGGAAGGAGTCATACTGAAAGGTACGGAGCTGTGATGGTATGCAGTCCTCAGTGGGTTTGGTAACCTTGATGAAGATAGTGTAGCGCCGTGGATCTGGATTCTGCAAGGTCCAGGAACAAGGCGTGGTAGGGAACACCGATGATGACAGGAAGAAGCCAAAAAAGCGGCTCTGGACTAAGGTGGAGCAGGAGTCAGACTCTGGACCTGAGGGCGCCGCCTGGCATGGACCGTCCATTAGCAGGAAAGAGAAAACATACAAGAGTAGCACAGGGAGTGGCCATCGTGTTCGGCCAGGAATCCAATCTATGCTCATCATGATGTGCAGATAAAGAGAGGGAGATCGTAGCATAGGGTGATCGCCCGTTCCTTGATTCAGAGGACTCAACTTCCAGCTGAGCAGGGCAGAGGAAGAAGAGAAGGAGGAGAGAAGGAAGGGGGAGAGGAAAAGGGCCCGGTGCAGAAGGAGGGGGAGGAAGGTCGCTCTCAGAGATCTAGCAATCGGCCCATGGCTGCATCAGTCGACCCGAGATTCACAGGAACCTGTGAAATTGAAGAGACAAGATATGAATTAGGCTTTGTATCTTATCAGACAGCAGAATGGGATTACACAGATTCTATTTATCTCCAAAATGAGAAATCTCTATCAGCTACTGTTTACTGATTGCACTAAACTGAAAGCGACTGCAGTGACTCAAGCCCCAGAGAACAAAAAACAGTTGAATAGGAGCAGACTGGAGAAGAGGGGGGAACGGCTTATTTAAGTTTTTCCTCATTATGCGGGTTCACAATGGTCTCTTCCTAGGAGACGACTGCTTTCCTCACATGTCTGCTTCCATATTTCATCTGTCAGCTCATTAATTTGTCCAATTAAAGGACTATTAATTACAAAAAAAAGGCAACACCTGCAGTCATTCATTACACCACTTCAAGGATGAGCCTCAGACAGCAGTGCCATGATCAATGGCCCTCTTTATTTCTGCTTTTTAAACCCCTTAACAGTGAGGTGTTTTTCTGCTTTGTAAGAATCTTAATTAAAACAGATTTTAGTAGTTTGCGAATCAATCAAACCTCAAATCCAATTCGAAAATAGCGCAGAGAATATATCAAATATTGAGACCAAGCTAGGTCATTGTTTGATGGAAAAGAGATGCTCATTATTAAAGCAACAAATGTCAAAAAAAAGCTGGTACAGGAAAAAAAAAAAAACAGCAAAAAAAGTAATACTAGAGAAACAGATGGAGGAACATCTTCAGACTAATTAAGAGAAGCTGAGTCTCTCTGGAGGAAAGATGGGAAAAGTTTTACCACTCTGTGAGAGACTGCGTGAGCTAATAGATCAACAGTTTCATAATAATGTTCCCGAGTGTCTAATGTGAAAGAATGAGTGGATTTCATTATCTACAATACATAATATCATTTAAAAAGTCAGATAATCTGCAGGAATCTCTGAACAAAATTAATGACATTATGTTTAAAATGAAGATATTTTTTCAGAAATTATAACAATTTTTCAGATTCAATTAAATATGCTTTCCAAACCATCTGATTTAGTTTTTATCAACATTTCGCACAGGGTTCCAACTTTCAATGAACTGGAGTTGAACCAGTTTTCTTTGTGTATATGTTTCACACATACAGCTGAGTCCTCTGAACCTTGCTCTGTCATTTTATGTTGACCTGTGTGACAGAAAGTGGTCCACAGAGTGAAAGAGTCCACTATCAAGTTACTGGCAAATACTACAGACCGCCTTTTAGCAAGTTTTTCATGCTGAGACAACCCTTACAATCAGTTCCATGTGATGATAACCTTTATGACAGGTACAACTACAACCCTGTCCAGCTGCCTCATACAGGTTTTCAGATGGAGTGAAACCAGCAGTCACAGTGGGCAGAGCTGAAAGGGATACAGCCTCTCACTGATCAATCACAATGATCTGCAGGCCTGACAGACAGCCAGTCTGTGATGTGTCTGAGTGTTTAGTTTAGAGGCACAAGAGTGGGATGGAGTTAAAGATAAGTTGTCATAAACCAATAGAGATAAGTCTTCAGAAACAATCAAACGCAATCCAAACAGTGAATCTATCTAAAGCAGGCCTGCAGGGGAGATAGGATTGTGTATCGTCTCCACAGCGGGAATATCTCTACAAAACAAATGTAATTAAACAAACTTTAATCAAGCTGTGCATCTGGCCTCATCAACACAAAAAAATTCTTTCTTAAATGATAAGTTCGTTCAGAAAGCCACTTCAAACAACCCCAGAAGCTCACATATCGCAAATCAGAGCAGTCAACGGATATTTTAGGAAACTCTGGATTCATAGTTCATCTGCCTCTGCTCTTTTGGGTACAGAAAAGGCAAACCCCTTTATAAAGAACTACATCAGATCTTTCTTTTATTTTCTTGTGAATAGTAAATAATGTCTGATCATAGACTGTATATAAGATGGACGCCGTCTGTCTCCTCGCCGGGTGAAGCCACTCCGAGAACAGCACCCCCTAGAGCCTGGCTGCAGTACAAGTCATAAACCCCACTTCTGCCAGCAAAGTGAATGGAGCGGCAGACGGCCTTGAGAAATTAACTACACAGAAAATATACTTTTCTCACCCCCGACTGCGATGTTGACATGTAGTTATTATTAGACTGGTTTGTGTTCAGGTCTTTTTTTCTCTCTGCAGCTCCATTTTAAAAAGTTATTAGAAGTTATAAAAACAGGAAATTGCGTCATTCTCTACACTTTGCACTTGCCGCTTGTGCGTCGCACTTTTTTGTTCATCGTCAAGACCAATCGGGTTTGCTAGTGGAGAAGAGGATAAAATTCCATCGTTTTTCTCTTTTGTTGCATTGGAAAAATGAGTTGTTCTGCAGTAAACTGTGTTAACCGATATACGCTCCGTGTCTCCCGCCCAGCCAAAAACGTCTGCGTACAACGCTACTGCGCAGCTCTGGTTTCAAGGAAGTGGAGAAAAACCCGGAATTACGGAGAGCTTTTTGGCTTCAAATCCGTATACAGGCGGAAGGCGGAACCAGGCTGTCCATCTTATATACAGTCTATGTGTCTGATCAAGAAGCTGGTGAATGAACTGTAAACCCTGCATCATAAAGATGGAACTGGTCAGTATGGATTGCTAAGACCGCAACACAATTCAGACGGTTGCTTGAGTCCTGACGATAACTTATTCTTGCTTTTTTTTATTTACCTTAGTAAACCACATTCATTCTGATTAGACTTGGTTCACAAAAACTCAAAAAATCATTAAAAAACACACCGTGTCTCAGATTCTTGATGTCATGTCACACTTCACAAAATAAATACTCTCAGGGTCCAATTCCACCAAATGTCCAACATGTAAGCAGCAATTTGCAAAAACACATAATTTCCTTCTCTTATTCTGACATTTTTTCAGGAAATTTCTCTGCAATTTCCTTGTAACTGTCACTTATGAGATATGATGTTGCTGCTGTGCGAGTTGCTTTTAAACTGAGTACACAAATTACTTATGTGGAAAAGGTTGCAGGGCTTTAATACAAACAGGTTGTCATAATTTGAATGCATAAGAGGGGCTGTGTCTGACTGACAGAACAAAAGAGTTGAATCATCAACACAAAACATTTAACGCTCCCCTTTTCTGACTGATGATGTTAAGTGAACCAGACTGGAAGAAAATGAGTGTAACGTGTTCTGATTAGTCATCGAACCCAAACCAAGTCTCCTTCATGATGATCCTCATACACAGCATGTTTGATTTGAGTCCAACTACACAACTCAGTGCATTGGAAAGAGTTTTAATCCATTTTCAGCTGCTTGCTGATGATCCACATGGATTAATGGAAGAAAGCAAATCTTAGTCAAATGGATTTAGGAGATGGGTTCCACAATAATCTCACCAAAATCTGTACAATTTTGAAGAGCCAGAACAATGGGGTACAGAATTATAGTGCAGATTTAAAAGGTAAAAATTGGTATCTAATGATGAATTGTTTATGATATATCGTTGGAAAAATCCTCCATGATAAATATTTGCCATCTCATGATAAATACGATGAATGCAAGTTGATGATCTAAGTGCCAGAGATGGACTCGCAGCCATATAGCCCACACAGAGTAGAATAACAAACAAGCATGGTCGAAGGTAATGAAGAAGAGGTTTCTGAGCAGCTTGACACTAAACCAGGCTCCACATGAGGGATTTCCTTCAAGATCGGGGCCTAGATGAGTGAATCAGGTATGCCTGACATCAGACAGTGGATCTGCTGCTGTTCACTCTGTGCAGTAAGAGTTTCTAACAAATGTTGAAAATGTTTTCACATTTAAGACTTGTTTGATATCATTTGAATCCTCCAGTACCTACCACTTAAACTTGTGTTGAAGTATCGTATTTGACTACTCCAAATGGTGTTCTCAAGACAAAATGAGTCAAAAATATAGATTGGAATTGTTATATATATATGAATAATCAGGACTTTTATCATTATAGCAAATCTTATCATGATAAATTTTTTAGCCCATATCGCCCATCCTTAGTGACACCCTACACATGATGGCAATGATAAATAATATTTTTAAAAGGCTGTGTAAAGCAACAACATAACCCAAACACAATCCTAAATTACTAGATTCATTTGCCAATAGTCCACTATAACTAAACTGAGAACCTCACAAAATCTCTCCACTTTGAAGTAAACAACCAGGGCAGTCAATGCGATCTTTTTATCTGGTGTTAAAGGTTATTCCACAGACTTCTTAGTCCCCATTGGATAGGACATGCTGAGAGAGGCACGGCATAAGCAAAGGGCATGGGATGACGTGCCAAATCTGGTCCCATGGTGCCCACATCAGTGGACTAGGGCACCAGAAATGCTGGCAGACATTGAGTTTGTTCATTAAAGAATGTTCACTGATGTTCTTTAATGGTCTGTCAGTACCTCACACAACTATAAACAATACCTCTATTGAGCTAAAATACCAAAGCAGCAGTACAGCAATAACAAATGATACTGGAAAGAGCTTCATGGTTGCACAAAAAAAAAGGATTTTGTAGACTGTAGGAAGACAGATTGAATCCTATATTCCCTATAGAACTACTGATGATGATGCTACTTTAACATCAAATTTGACAGTATATGCTTATACAGTTGTCTGTGCTAGACTGTGTATGTATGTGTATGTTTCAGAAACATTTAATGACCAGAGACAGAGACAGACAAAGTAAATTCAAAGAGTCAAACCTCAGGAAAAAGGGATACTTTACAATAAACAATGCTCTGACTCCTATTAGACTAACATTTAGGGCTATGAAGACCTGTATCTGGGAGCGGCCATGCTTTCTGAAGTCAATCCACTGGAGGCAGGCAATAACAGTGTGCCCTACGTCAATAGAGCCTCCTTTTGTGTGGCTGAAATAACCCTGGATCAATTCAGCTCTGTCATTTCTCAAACCCTAAGCTGTGGCACCCTGTATGTGATATCACTTACCAGAAAAAGGCTTTTCTTCTGGCACAGTGATTGATCTTGTCTCATTTTATCTCAGCTGGCCCCATGTCTCATTCTTCCTCGTCCCATTTCACCCCGCCTTGGCCTGGCAGCTCGCTAAGTTCCCCTCATACCGAAATGCATCCTGGGAAAACCACCTAGACCTCTTTGAGCAGACAGGCCTGACAGTAATGAAATGAATAGAGCTTTAACGGAGGATAAAGAGCTGTTCTTTATTGACAACTCTGCCTCATTTATCTCCAGGCCCCCCACACACCACACCCCTGCCTCCCCTGCCTCTTCCCCCTCCTCTTAACCTGCCGCCAGGGAGTCTGATCACCCAACATGCAGCTCTCTATCCCAGTTTCCTGCTCATGTCAAGCCTCTCCTCATTCCTAACACCCAGCGCTTCCCCCCCGCCTACCTACCTTAAACCCAAAAGACTCACACTCTGACGCCCCCCCCCCCCTCTCAGTATTGATCCATCGTCTATGAGAAGCTCACGGATGGAGAGCAGCTATTAACTCACTTTCTTCTGCTCTGCGGCTGAGGAGAATAGGATATGACAGTGAAAGGAGAGATTTGAGGCCGAGCTTCACAGTGGCAGTCTGCAGAGTGAAATCTGACCCGAAGATTAAACTCGGTGTTCTCTGTCAATTAATCAATGCAACTCTTTGAGCCTCTGTTGTTACATGCTGTATCTCAGTTTTTGAAAGGCGCAGAGGGAGGCAGGTTTTCACAGCCCAGAATAACACCGAGCAGGACTGATTTCAAGTTTTTTCTACCTAACAGCACCCAGTTTTCGGCATTCATCCGAAATGCAAGTGTTATTTCTTAGAAGTGTGATTCTACCTTTACAATGAAGATTGAAATGAAAATGAGGTGACATTTTTATCTGTTCATATAGAGAGGGTCCTAAAAATGTCCTTTTACCCACTGACACCGTGAACATGTCTTCTTTTGAAGAAATTTAATTACCAATCTTTCTAAAAAAAAAAAAAAATCAGACCTAGACGCTAAGGCAGAAGAACTACCGCGTATGCAGTGCACATACAACATACACAAGAACTCTGATTGCATTTCCGTAAAGTAATGATCATAAAGTTTCTTCCTTAAGCTGTGGAACTTCGCTACAGTCGGTGATCGACTCGTCAGGGCTCCCCCACAAACAAGCAGCTGCTGGAGGAGAGTGGGTGAGTTGTGTTTGGTCTCTTTGCTAAAGAAACCAGGCAAAGCTAAAGGATGTTCGATGGCTAGAACTATGGCTGAGACCCTATATGTACTGTTGATGAAGTTTGGTGCTGTTCTGAGCATTATTTGTGGCTATAGAGTGTTTTTTTTTTGGTGGAGACTTACATCGCTGCGTATTGCTATCCTACAATCTTTACTGAGGTTGGTGTAACTAGAGAAGCAAGCGGTGTGCTGTAAGGTTCTTTTGGGATCATTTTCATCAACCACAACTAATTATAACCGTTATGATAACCATTTTCAAATTAGCATCCTAAAGTTCTTTGCACACTCAGTCTTTCCTTTTTTATTTGCAGCACTTGAATTTGAAGCCAAATCTGGAGTTGCTTTTTCTTATTTCTTTCACTCATTGGAAATAGAAAAAAGAAAACCTTGGGTCCTCTCACTCTTATAAAAGAAAAGAACAAAGAGAGTTCCACCTGCTGACAAAGGAGCTGCTGAGTTTTTCAGATCACTTCCCGGGATATAACAGGGAGTCAGTGATCTAAATTCATGTTACTAGTAGTAGGCGGGCCACGATATTAAAGCTGAAACCACTCTCAGTACACTGGGATGCATGTGCACTGGAAGGGTGCAATATATACTGTATATACATATATATATTAATGACTGAGGATATTTTGGTATTGACACAACATGAGATCCTATATCTTTTTACAACTACAAAAATGGAACCTGTGTGCATAGACTTGAGCACTCCCTTAGTTATTTCCAGCTATCTCTAGGTTGCTTTGTTCTGGACAATCCTTGTGACTCTCCATCTTCCATCCCTCTGGTGCTGTGGTTGCGTGACGACTCACCTCCTTCAAAGGAGGCGAACCCAGTTTACAAGAGCGTGGTGATGTTCAGTGATGTAAATATTGGTATTCTTTGAATATGAGAAGATCCAACTTTTTCAGATGCGTTGAAGAAGAAGTTGGAATTCTGGGTCAACACAAGTGTGTGTTATGATTGGCAAACACTTGACAAGTTCACACAACAGTCCTTCCTGTGTGTATCTGCATATTCACAGTCAGAGAGAGGGAGTTTCTCACATGGGTGAAAATGTTAGTGTTCTATAACTGTGGAATTATTCATTCCTTTTAGCCTGTGGCTGGAACAGCAAGCAATTAAAAGAACAAAGGTGTTGCATTAGCCAGCAGCCCAGAAGCAAGAATCCATGTAAACAAGCCCAACAGGCTTTCTCTGTGAGTGAGTCAGAACAATGGCCCAATCACAGAGCAGCAACAGTCCCTCAGACTCCATGTAGAGGAAGAGAGAGACAGAGACAGAGACAAAGAGAGCACTGATGAGAAAATGATAGAGTCGCAAGGAGCATCACTTCTCACATCAGCAGCACAGGGATTACAGGCTGATTAGCAGGGATCTGCTGCCACACACACACACACACACACACACACACACACACACACACACACACACACACACACACACACACACACACACACACACACACACACACACACGCCAGCGCGTAAACCATGAGGCAGAAAGTCACAGGGCTGCAGACAGTCCACTCCCTCTGCTCTCAAGTACTAATTGGTTAAAACGTTCCTCTGCGTGATTAAATGTTTTCAGTCCCCTGCTAGATCATGTTTAGGCTGTTTGACATCAATCATGGAAATCAGGTCCATACATGCAATGTACAGGTGAGCAGTCAAACTGAGGAGAGGGAGCCACAACAGAAACAGAGATTAGAGAGGAAAAAGAGCACAGACCATCAGGCTACCCTGATATTTGAAGGAGAGATCACCATTGTTATTATCTGCTAGGCTTAAGATGACTCTACAACACACACACACACGATTGGTACCATTGAGTCGCTGTATGCAGCATTCACAAACTACATCATCTTTATCATTGTAAAAGGTAAAAAAGTCAGAGCCTCTTATAGTGTCTAAAGAAATCCCTTGTGCCCATTAAGTAGACGGAATTCCCAAAGAACAATGCAAATTCCCCATGAACCACGATGAATACACAAGCTGAACGGTATACCCTGAGTCTGAACCCCGTTAGAAAATATGAGTGTTTAAAATTCATACTTTTGGAGAAACAATCCCATGAAAGCTTGAAGATTTATAAAGAACAGAGTGTAAGAAGGAGGTGAGCACCTTTAGCCAGATCAAACCAGATTTGTCCAGCTGACCCCCTGGATAAAAGAGGAGTTTCTGGTGGGTGTGTCTTGTTTTCTGGATCTAATTCCCTTGGGATTTCTTGGTTTTTAATAATCCAACAATGAAGTGTGATGTGTTTGGACATTCATAACAAAATGTCAGGGGTATTTTAAAATGTGAACTAAACTGTAAAGTCTGTAGTCCTCTCGAGGGATGATTCAGGGGTTCATTAAGATTTATCAGCTGACTCTTCTGAAATATAAACTTTAGCTGCGTCAGACTTAAACTGTCTCCAGAGATTTTGGAGCACTTTTTCTGACTCCAGTGTTTGCTTTCGGAGGTATTTTGACCACGTTTTGATGACATAAATCACCCAGGTTGTTTTGTAAACATAAAGATGAGGTAAGATACGATCAGAAGAAATTTATCTTGGCATTCAGATTTGACAATTTGAGACAAAGATTAAATGATCCTGAAGGTTCAGAAATTCTGTGATATTTGGTCATTAAAGTAGGAAATGTACCGTACACAAACCATCTGTCAGGATCACATATATCATTTTAAGTATTTCTCAGTAAAGGGTCTTTGTCCTCATCAATGATTTGTTTCCCAATGAAACATGTCCTCTCTTATGTTGTAGTTATTGTGAAGTAGAGCCATTGTTTTCTGAAGGTTACCTTTGCTATTTACTGCAGTCTCAGTGACACAGAGTTTATAGACATGTTCAGATCTAACAGCGTGTTTGTTAAAACAGCTCCTTCTTCGTTAATCTCTGGTGTAATTGCTGAGCTGACAAACAAAAAAAAAGGTTAAGGTTGTCCTTCAGCTGCTCGGCTTTAAAGTCTTCTTATTTAGGATCGCAGCACTGAAATGTTCAAAACAACAGAAACATCCAAAGCCCTCAAGTGAAATAGTGAGCTTTACAGATATGCGTTGTGAATGCACCTTTAAAAGGAATTTAAATAGAGGAATTAGGGAGCCTGTAAAAGGCTTTCATTTCAGGATGTACAGATGCATAACCGTGGTGTGTCAAAGGCACTGTGAGCTTTCAAGTTGTTGACTCTGATTGTTTAGAGGATAAAAACTGCATTTCCTATGAAACTATGAACATCATCATTCACTTTCATAAAGGTGTGTATGTTTCCAAAGCATGCATTTGTTGTGGATGCAGATGAATAAAATGCAAATCTAATCTTGAGGACTAATGAGCTTATTCTTTGATTTACTGCTACATCACAATAGCTGTAACTTTGTGCCGACTCACAAAAGGTGAGCAGATGTGCTGGTTTAATGTTACCTTTCAGCCCTGGTGTCATGACGTGTACTCCAGGGTCACAATAGATACCTAAATCCCGCAAATGTGCACTCGACTTCACTCTTTAGGCCTTTTAAGAGATGTGAGCAAACTGAGCAAACCCCTAGTTATGGAAATCACCTATGAGTACAAAACATTATGGAAAAATAGGAAACTGCTCACTCCCTTCTGGTTTACATAACTACTTCCTTGTTGTAAAAATGCCCCCCAAAAAATAAATAAATAAAGATTCACATCATCACTTAAATCAGATTAAAAAGTCCAACCTTATTGGAGTTTAAATCAGAAAACAAGAAGTTGGATAAACCCCATTCTCAGTGAGGTTGGGACATTGTGTAAAGCATGAATCAAAAGAAAATACAATTAATTTTAAATCCTTTTCCACTTATATTCAATTAAATACATTACAAAGACAAGATATTCAATGTTCAAGCTGATAAACTTGATTGTTTTATGCAAATATTCACTCATTTTGAATGTGATGCCTGTCTTTGCAGTTAGTTTAACTGAATATTGGTTAAACAGGATTTACATGCACAGCTTAAGCTCATAATTTTTTTTTCACTATTTTTTTTTTTTTTTTTTTGCCAAATCAGACTTCTCTCCTGGTCCACGTATACATGCAGCTGAGAAAATTGAATTACTGACGTAAACGTGTCCTCCTTTCCAAAACTAGGGGGCGATATGCGTCTTTTCAGCGGCACTGTTTCCAACCCCATACAACTTTAACAACAACAGCAGGTCCATGCCAGACGTCAGAAGTGGCTACAACTGTTGCTGGGCATTTTGAGCAAGAAGATGCGTTGTTTTTGTCATACATGATGTATGCGCTACTTTTTCTCCAGATGAGGTGCAACTTCTTCCTCTTCTCTGGTGATTTTGTTCCAGGGTTACGGGGGCATGTCACACACGCACATGCATTGTCCAATCATTCTCCGACTACGCTGGATATATGGTACAGAAAACTGAATTCCAATCGCATTATCTGGGTGTCTTAATCTGAGTTTTCAAACTCTGATTATAGTTGGACTAAGGTGTTTACATGCACTTCAGTTGTCTGGTCTTAATTGGAGTAAGGCAATAATTCGGTTTTCTCGAGTGTCATTTAAACGTACGGATTGAATTGGGGTTTGTACCTTTCTGAATTGTCAGTAATAGACCGTCTTTGTATTAGTGTTTCAGCTTTAGTATTAAGGCTCTGACTGTGTTATTGCATCATAACGCAAATAATTTCTACATTTATGTCTTTGCATGCCATTACAGATTAATCTGCTCGATAATATTCGCTGATAAAATCAAACAAAACAAAGTTTTCAAACACCGTGAACGCTGTTTCCTGCTCTTCCCAACCACACGAATGAATTCCCAGATTGACTTGAACAAAGAGGTTAATGGAGAACATAACTGGAGGAAACACGGCAGGGCTTTTTCTCGACAAACTGCTGCTGTGTCGGTACAGCTGCGCCCTGATGGCTGCAACAACAGAACCTGCGACATCTTGCAAGGCTCCTAAATTAAACAGATAATCATCTGTCTGTGCTGATGAATGTGTTTACTGTGGTAAATGTCAAAGCCTTTCTAATAAGCAGAGGGAAGACATCACACACACTCTCACACACACACGTACACACAGACTCGCTCACTATTATTCAAATACACATTTCATTACAGCTCCCGGAGAGAGCAACAGGAAGTCTTACAATGAAAGTGGGAATGTTTAATTGATGAGAACTGACTTAGAGTTAAAATTCTTCACTGGATTAAATAGAGAAAGTTAAAATGCACATTCTGTTTAATGTCAAATGAGAGGTTTGTCTCCACATATCTCCTCCGCAGTCTTTTATTTGTGGAAACTGTGGGCTTTGTAGACGCGTGTGCTAGGCTGTTTGTGTAAAGACAGGAATAATACCACCATTGTGTGGGAGGATTTAACTTTACAGTCCAAAAATCTGCGACGCAACCTGTCTCCTAGAGCATTAAGGTGGCAGTATCCCAACTGAAACAACATTAGACTGGCTCCCAACCATCCGGGGATAGTTTACGTGCTGTTTCACAGGCCTGACTCTGTTCGAGCTGTTGGCAGAGGTACTTACACTGGTAACTTTTCAAATTAAGTCATTTTCTTTATAGTAATTGATCCATATATTTGCCCAACTTACAGGATATCATGACTCCAGTAATAGCCAAGTTTTTTGTTTTTACTGCTGAGGTCATAAAGATGGTAATGAATGGATTTTTAAAACCCTAAAAAACTACAACAGATTTGACCACTTCTGCAGCTCATTTTTGTCTTCACTTGCAAAAAAAGCACACAAAGAAATTAACCAGGTAAGGCAGCAATAAAGAAGCAAATCCGTGAGGTAAAAAACACTGTTTTTTCCTAAGGAGTCTGACGAGAGAAGCAAAAGCTGCTCTTAAAAAGAAAATAATCACACATCTAAATCAGAGCCTAAAGTATCTCAATTGAGACTGCTCCGGTAATACTGTCAGATACTACGAATAAAAATCTAAGTGTGTCTCTAGGAAAAACAGGCAAGTGGATGAACTTTGATCCAACCAATTTTTTGAGTTTTGGAAGATGTGGTAGCAGCTATTACAGCCCAAATCACCTCAGCTAGCTGAAGCAAATTACTGGGACATTATCATTTGTTCTGAAAAACATACTCAGAAGCTTTTTAAAAGGCCAAAATATTTGGCAGAAGGATTTAGCTCAGCAGTGAAATCATGTGCCCTGAGTACAGAGGCTGTAGTCCTTTAAGTGGGTGGCTAACTTGTGACCTGTACTCCCCTATTAAGTCATTTCCCCCCTCTCTCCTCTGTTTCATATAACCGCTATTCTGTCTTAGTAAAGGCATAACAACCTGAAAAATATACTTAAACGCCCATTTGGAAACTTCTCTCTTTTACATGTATGAGTGGTGTTGAAAACTCAGTTACTTTACCAGTCAAACCCACTGTGTATTATGTTTTTCTAATACCAGCTCCAGTGTTTCTCCTACATTCATTCAGCAGCGGTGCGCCTCAGTTGCTGAATAACATGTGCCCCTACTAAATTTCATATGATCATTAATATCAGTGCACCACTAATGATTTCCTCTCGCACTGTGTGAGCACAACAACATACGACGTTATTTTTGGCTTGTTTTGAGTCATCAACGAACGCATCAAATCCTGTTGGACCCTCTTCCATCAACATGAAAGGTAACATTCAAGCTTATACACAGCCTATATAGCGAGTAGCATTTGTAGCATTAGTAGCATAATTGTTAATGCGCCACTAATGATTTCTACTCGCACTGTGTGAGCACAACAACACCTGACGTTATTTTTGACCTGTTTTGAGTTGTCAACGAGTGCATCTAATCCTGTCGGACCCTCTTCCATTAGTGTGAAGGGTATACATGTGCAAGCTTATACACGGTCTACATAGCGAGTCGTGTGGGTAACTTAATGTGAACATAACAGTGTTGCTCTTTGAGCGACAAGAGAGTTAGGGTTAGAGTGGGGATAACAGCGTATCCCCTGGGAGAGCTACTCAATCCCTGAACGCCCATAGGCTGTATCAGGTGTCAATCATAGAAAACATGAATCATCTAATATTTTTTTAAAACAGAGCTTCAAAGAAAAAAGAGGACTTGACACAAACCAGTCCTACTGTAACTTCATATCAACACCGCAACCAGGGGCAGAAAAATTTATGTTCTGTGTCATAAATTTCTAAAGTTTGTCCACAGCTCCATAAGCTTTGCTGGCGGAGGCAGGATTCATGACCTATACTGCAGCCCGTCAACAGAGGGTGCTGTTCTCGGAGTGGCTTCACCCAGTGAGGAGGCAGACTCTGTGTGTAAAACAAACAGATGTAATTGCAGCACAGATTTGTTCTGCCACTGTGTTAGCACTTAAATAACAGATGAAGCTTGCTGTTGGTTCATGTGTCAATCTTCTCAAACTGGGACACCGATATTTCATCATTGCAGAGCTCCATGATAAAACACTGAAACATCATAGCAGCAGACCTTTATTAAACTGCTGCTGGGGGATCTCAGTGTCTAAAGGGCCCTGACCTTCATGGCAGCAGTGACAGATGTTAAACTATAGAAATAGTCATTCTCACCTTAAATGGTCTGCTTTGCTTTTGTGATCCAGATAAAGGTATCAGTTGTTATATCTGTTTGAAAAACTCTGCACTACACTGTTGTCTCCCTGATAAAGGTGCAACAGGGTCCAAAAGAGTCAGCAGGGACATTAGAAAGATTCAGCAGGGCAAGATTCATGTAATATAAATGTGGTCAGTCGACTGTAGGTTATCTCTGTGTGTATATCAAAGTTTGAACACACCGAGGAGCTGACAGACATCCTCATGCAGCGCCGTTAGTGAAGCAGAAAGAAAGCTGCCGTCAGTCTGGATCAGTCAGAGCTCATGACAGCACAGGCTGCAGACAGCAAACACACGTCAGCATTGTTTACAGCACTGTAAAAACTTGAGCTACTAAAACACCATGAGTGTAATTGAACATGTCTATTATTAAGTTTACTGTACGGACCGTGTAGACGGTTGGTGCTGAGTGGCTCCAGCTGCACAAGTTTACTTCAGACACAGAGAGCTATTATTCCATCCACAGCAGTCCTGAGCTGCACTGAAGTGGATTCAGAGTTAAATACAGCCTTAATTGGATCTCACAAATATGGGACTTAATGACATGAAACCCAGGATTACAGTCTTGTCACATGTGGAGCAAACAGAACAAGTGGTTTGACATTCATGGGGCTGAAAATGACGAACACGTCCTCTCTTTTGTCGAAGTCTTGCTTCTTATACTCCTGGCTGCTGTCACAGTGGTGCTCCGCATGCAGCCATGAGAAGCATAGCAAGATTACAGTCCTGATGCATGGGCCCGCATTTGTGTGCGTGTGTGTGTGTTATCTCTCCCTCCTAATACCCATATCTCTCAGTGGAGATGTTACTGATGGCAATGTGATGGTCCTTTTTTTTCCACTAGCGCCATAAGTCTCTGTATAATGGCCGCTTTGTTCTACTACGTAATCACATTAATATGAAAGGCAATTGCTCAGGAAAGCAAATCAAATCAGGCCAGATCACATTCAGATGAAAATGAGTTAATCAGAAAAGCTATGTGTTTGCACAAAAAGAGGGGGATTAAAACTGAAAGAGGACATAGTATGCAACTGGCTGCTTTCTAATGTCATTTCAGCTTAGCGTCGTTCGACTGTATAACACATTTTACACAAACCTTTGGAGGTCCTAATGAGAGGGATTCTTAAATGCCTGCATCAGCTGGAGTGAAGACAGTTTCCTTTATGCGTCATTGAAAATGTGCTCCCACATGAAGGCTGAGATGGTATTAGAAGAACTTGTTTGGATTGATTTATATTAGAGCTCGGCACAGATCTGTTTTTCTTACCAGCCCGCTCTAACACTATATTACATTACTCCTGCCAAAGCTGTTTACATTCAGTGCCAGCTCTCATCACACCCAACAATGTATTTCTCTTCATTATCATACCGGATGAAAGATGTTCCAAGTATTGGTGAGTACAACTGTATGGAGATGCATATATGCAAGAGGTAATTTCAAACCCCCTATCGAAACAAATGAGCGCGGAGCATAAGGTATGCATCTGCTTATGTTGGAACCCACGTTTTTATTTAAAGTTGCATGTTTAAGTATTATCATCATGTCGAGTTACGTGAAATTCACACAGAAGGTAGGCCTCAATCTGGCTGTAAAAGAGAGGAAGGGTGCGTTTCATTCAAGGTTTAGGACATAAGCAACAGGTGGCACAGTATAATTCGGTCTCAATTATCGTATTTTTTGATCACGGGAAGCTGTTGAAATTGAAATCCAGGCAGTCACCAAGCTCTAGTCTGAGGGTGTGTGCCCTGGCCCACTGAAAGAGTGATTGAAGTGGGCGGCAGTCTGGAGCACCTGTCTGTATACAGAAAACAACATACGAGCAACAAGTTACTTTGCCTTCTTGCTCAGGTTTCCCTGCTCCAACACACCTGATTCAAATGATCAGCTCGTTATCAAGCTCTGTAATGGCTTAATAACGAGCTAATCATTTGAATCAGGTGTGTTGGAGCAGGGAAACATCCAAAACATGCAGGACAGTAGGCCTCGAGGACTGGACTTGAGAACCACTGATCTAGGGTGACCAAACACCCTCTTTTACCTGGACATGTCCTCTTTTTTGGGGCTGACCAGCCTGTACGGCCTTTACTGGCTTTGTCAGGGGGAGTTTATAAAATCCTTTAAATGTCCACAGTTTTGTTTAGAGGTTTTGAGTTTGTGTCGCATGGACTTGCTGAGTTACAAGAGCGTAAAAAACACTCAATCTGACCCAAAAAACTCAAAATCAACTATGCCCAACTCTGTGACTCCGCCCCCGCGTAGTCGTGTCCTCTTTTTGGGTATTCAAAATAGGGTAACCCTAGATCACCAGTACTTCATTAGGCCGATATCAAGTGTCATAAACAGCTTGAACAGCAATAATAATAAAAAAATATATATTTTTTTTTAACAGATTAAATTAAATGTTTCTTTTTTCAGGAAATTGATGTTTCATTACCTAACAATGTTAAATACTTGTTTCAGGGACATCTGTTTTCTGTGCAATCAAGACAAACCCCTATTGAGGATTCATTGGCATTGTCATTGGGGTTTTGACCAATCAGATTTAGGTATTTGGCTCTGCCAGGTAATATTTATGCTCACTTTACATTAAACTCATTTGTCTGTCATGAATCTGTTGGGTTAAGAGCTTTCTGAGCATCTGAGAGAAATCTAAAGTCGTCACATAAACACAATATGTTTTGCAGTTTTCAAGGTTTAATCAACCAGTTTTGATGTTGATGGTTTTACTCAGGGATGAATGAGATGAAAAATAACTTTGCTGAAGTTGTTTCATAAAGTACAATATAAATAAAAGCCTGTATAGGAGAAAGGGAGCTGTGGCTGCTTGTTACCTCCCCACAAGCTGTCCTCCTCCTGTTTGAATGTTACAGCGTCTCTGACTGAACAAAAGATTCTCCACTGTGTGCTTTTAAAGACATTTTTGCGACATTTGCGGTTTCCATTCAGTTTCTTTTGAATTGAAATGAAAAGCCATGCAGTTTTACAACCACCTTGTACTCTGTCAGGGGTAATGTGTCTCTTTCACCGCTGCTCCCACATCAATAGAGAGCTGATTCCTGATCAGCTGCAGGTTAAGTGCTGTCGAGTGGAGGAGTGGCGCGGAAATGAGTCCATCCATTACACCGTTATTAACGACATACGAGAGGAGAATTACATGATGAGCATGTTTGTGCCTAATGCATGTTATTAATCAATTCAAACATACGCACTCTAGTCTGCACTTATACATACCCATGCATTCAAATACAGTGTACACAAAACATCTGAGTCCGAAAGAAAATGTATTTCTTATGCTCATATTTGCAGAAAGCATGCACACACACACACATGTGCACAGGAAACACTTGCACACATGCAAGAAGCAGCAATGACTCAGAATAATAGCCATTTGTGAAAAGGACCTCAGAGGATGACAAAGCCACACATCATCCACATGTGACCTCACAGTCTGATAAAGACTTACAGACGCCTCTATAATCCTGCTGACAGCTCGGCTACACCTCAACAATCAGCCATACATCACTGCTGAGTGTGGACCTTCCTCTTTAAAACACTCCTTTCATTCTCCAATTCTTCTCCTATTCTCCTATTAGAGAATCACTGAAACACTTGTCAATAACAATCGTCCACCCCTGCACTTTCTTCCTCGTTCAGTTCTATATTAAATCCTATAAATATTCTCAGGCTGTAAACTGTACTTTGGATAAATAATTTAGAGATGTCACCTCAGGCACCATGTTTTACATCACTCGCTTCAGTCAGTTAATTTCCTGCTGAGGTATCCTCATATGAATTCTTATCAGAACTGAAAGGTAGGAAATGACAACCCCGGGTTAATAATCTAAAGGCATCCTGTGGAGTTGAAGTCAAACAAATAAAGGCACAGTATGTTTACAATCACTGAATATGTCCACGGCTCATTGTTTATGTACTGCTGGATTGATATGCACATTGATTAGTTATATTCAAACCTACTTACAGTCTCCCCCACTGGCTTTGCTAGTGAGTTACAATGTTATTTGCACTACCTGTCAGTAAAATAGCTTAAAAACAGAAACAGCTCTGCGGGATGACTGTAACCAAACTGTGTGCATGATGCAAGTAAATCTAAGTCTTAATCACAGGAATATATGTAACTGCACAGAGACATTAAAAAAAAGTTACAATAAAAGATGCATTCTGTATAAACCACATCCACAATTCTAATGTAAAATCTCCTTCACTAATCTCACTTCATGTATTTGATATAGAAGTGATTTTATAATATTTGTCTCTTGCAAATCAGGGCTCAGATTGGTGCTGTAATTTGTTTTGTTTCAAGGTTTTTTGGTTGACCTCACAACTTATTTTGAATAAGAATATTTTGAATATTTTTCAGTCAAAAATGATGAAGGCTGTGCTTTTGAAATGAGAAATTTAGGCTCAGAATCAGCAGACTTCTCATCAGCACAAATTTGTAAAAGGATGAAAAAAAAAAAGAACAATTTATTGCCTTTGTCTGATAGAAACTGGACTTTTAAAATGCATGTAAACATGTTAGTTTGACTAAAATCATATTCTAACAATCTGGATAATGCAGATGGATCAAATTTCTTTGTCATATGACTCAATCTAACATACATACTCCAGTGTTCACACGCTGGGCTCTAAAACAGCAGTTTAATAACTTGGACATATTGGGCCATCATACGTTAGTCTAGCTATCTGTAATGTTGCAGAGGATCTACGAGTGTATTCAGTGGTTGAGCACATCAGGTGATAGAGCCCCAATATAAAGTTCACTCTTATCCACATTTAAGCAATCAAGCCAAACCAGCCATTTATGATCAAACACAAGCTGCTTTTGTGCACAGCTTGGATGGATAGATTCTCTTACCGCACCGAAAACAAAACAAACCATGAACTCAAAACTGATGTACAAACCGATTCATGATTTCAGTGTTTCGTTTACACCCCTAGCATCAATCAGCCTCAGAGAAAGGACAGACTGCAGTAAATCTCGTGTGAATGACTGAGTCTTATCAGTGTTTGGAGCCAGAGTTTGAATAACAGCTACACCTTCACTCCAAAAGCAGGTGAATCAGGATGTGCCTTTAAACCCTGTTTACTGCTCGTCTCTGCCATGAGAAGCTGAAAGAAAAGTCAGCGACACTGTGAAAAACCTAATAGTGGAATCAGCCGACTGTCTGAGTGTGTGTGTGTGTGTGTGTGTGTGTCTTTGTGAGACAGTGATATCCAGAATGTGCCTTCACACCATTACACGTCGAAATGCTCACAGCAGTATGAAAGAGCTCGTGAGAACAAAACTGTGCGCAGAGCGAGCAGACAGACACTGGCTGGATTCCTCCTCAGACTATTTCAGACACAGAAATCAGATTTCACAGGTTGTGTTCCTGGGGTTTTCGAACGCTCCTTTCTATTTCGGGTTGGGGATGAATCACTGTAATCCACTGATAGACTGTGGAGGAAGCCTGTCACACACAATCAGCTCGTAAACAGGCTGGGAATCCGCTTTTGTGGCTGCACTTGTTCTGCGCCAGCCATGCATACAAACACACACACACACACACACACACACACGCACACACACCGACATAAACACAGCTACGTTTCATGAAGCATGTGACTCAAACATTTACTTTGCAAATTTCCAAGCTTGGATTGTAAATGTTTATGAATTCAAAATAACGCGATCAAGTCTTAATGGAGGAAAAAGGTATGACTACATAAATAACAGACATCCAAGGGACAAACTCAACAGAGGAGGAGAATGAAATATCTAGTGCACAGTGAGGGGCAAAAGCAGCAAAAGTGGGGTTGTTAGACTCTATTTGTAAAACATTATGTGTAGTTACACAACAACGGCAGTGTTTGATGACAACAAAAGCTATTTTCTGGATTACACAACTCTATGCATGTCAAAATTATTCATTATTCATGTATGCACTCATCCACCTGGGCTATCCTTTTTAGTGTAGTTGAAAAGAAAAAGAATGTTGATATTCCACAAACATTCAGACCCACGTAAATGATAAAAAGTTAAAAACAAAAATATAACTTTGATTTTGCAGGACTTCAATGACTTGCATTTTAACTACCCCTAACCCAGGCTACTTGAGTTGAGTAATGAAAATGGTCAAAATCATTCCCCTTTAAAAACGGCCATCCAAACTTAACATCCGCAGTGGCACTTTTGTCAATGAATGTGGAAACATTACTATTTTACCTTTTAAAATATTACCGCAATTCTAACGTTTTGCGGGGTGTGACGGAGCGGCGTCCTCACTGACTGTGGGCAGCGCATGGAGCCCCACACACGCACATAAACGCCAAACATTTCCCTCCCCGCCTGCGTCGCTAATTACCCGCTAAACAGCGCTACTTTTCCTTCTCCCTGCTCTGCTGGAAAGGGTAACCAAGGGTGCACATTTAGAGCCCTACCGGGTAACTTAAATATACATTCACATAGATATTCATCTCTCCACTTACTTGCCGGGCATTCATTCACGCCATCATGCTGCCTCAAGTTTCCAAAAAAGGAAACAGAGTGCAGGATTCCCGTATGTAAAATAGGTGGGTATGGCAGGTCAAAGTGGTCACATGATGCAAAAAGAAATAATTCCCTTTTTGCTTGCCATAAATCCTTAAAAACTACTGCTCCACTGATTTGTGTAAAAACTTAAAACTAACAGCAAAAACTTACAAAAAAAGGGTTGGAAGTTAAAAATGGTAAAAAATGGTTTAAATGTAAATAAATGATTTTTTTTTTTTTCCATCCCCACTGGGAGGGGCTATGGGGGGTTAGAAGAAGGCTTCCCGGGCCTTCTTGAGTCTGGAGTTTGTTGTATGGAAGGTAAATGCCAAACTGACTTTTGTAGTGCTGCTGGTTTTTTTTTTTTTTTTTTTTGTTCGTTTGTTTTTTTTGCTTTTTTTCTTGAGTGAGAATCTTGAGTTATAGTGGAACTCTTGCCTTGTTGGTATTTTCTTTTTGCCTTGTGCATTTTGTTTATAGTATTGGACCATATTTTTTGCACTTTGATAAATATTTTTTGCACTGCACCTTGGAAGGTTGGCTGTAATAAATCCTATCACCACCACTGAAAAACTCATCTCTCTGTGTGTCGCCATCAGCGGAAACAACACAGCAGCATGCCTGCTAAATGAGCGCGAGTCGTCATTCTTTTATATCTCTGAAAAGTAGAGAGATTAAAAATAAATAAACATCACAGCTGTAGCGGGGAACGTTCTGCTACGTTAAAAGATACCAAATAGCCTATTGTTTTAAATCAGCCGAAATTAAATTCCTCTTGCAGGAAAGTTTATAGACGTGTATTAATGTAAAGGCGCTATAATGCACTGTTTTATCTTAGCCTCAGTGAACGAACCAGTGCTCGGCACTAAGTGAACGACACTATACCCCTTCCTCCTCTGCCTGAATAAAGTCATTTGGAAGTTGTTTGTTTCTTGTTTCGTTCACCATGTCGTTCACAGACTGACTGATACATTTCGTTCAATGACTGAAACATGTAGTTCACCGACGTTTCGTTCACTGACTGATTCAGGTCGTTTACAGACATTTCGTTCACTGACTGATACATACCATTCATTCGCTGTGAGTGAATCACGAGACTCCGCCCACCCACCTGGCTGTGTGTCGTTCGCCAAAGAGTCAAAGGCAGCAGTTTCACCCCTGTCCAGCATGCCACGCTCGCGGCTGAGTTTAACTGAACTGAGAAAGGAACGAATCAGGTCTCGGAGTGATTCAGTTCGTTCACTCAGCAGTTCTGTTCTTTTGAACGAATCGTTCATGAGAGACACAACACTAAAAGGTGGGATGTTGATATGTTGAGAAAGCAGAATGTGTCCGTGCCTTTAACCCACAAAAAATTGGCATGTGACCTGAAGATATTTGCAGAGTACTTTCCTAGTGTTTAGAATACTTATTGGTGAGATGGTTAGATGGCATTAGAGATAACATTGTGCATCCATCTGCTTGTTACACTCATACAGAGGGGCAGGTGTCCCACTCATAATTAAAACTTCTGTTGATACAATTGAATCCTGTAGAAAACAGGAGTATCATGTCACAGACTCCACATCCCTCTCTTTGCGAGGTCGAGGGGAGGTTGAGGTTTCATTGTCATTGTCTCGGTGAATACAGTTTGTTTCTGTGTCTCTAAGAGACTGCGAGATGAGCAGTGTTCTCTGTTCTGCCACACACAGCGATAAGGGCTCTGAATCCAGGCTATTACTGTAAGACCAAACACAGAAAGCCAAACAAACAAGCAGTGTGTGTAGTGGCGCTTTAGAAGAGAGCTCCATTGATCATCAGTGGCGTGCCGGCGAGACTTGGAGTGCACTGACAAAGCCTGCCAGTCAGGTTTGAACTGCACCCATAAGCAGGTCATAAAACGGTCTGTATTAAACTAGAAATTTAAAACTTTCCGTCAATAGCCAGAGAAAAAGGACCACTTGTAATCAAAGAAACATTGACTGCTGAAAGCTTGATTCAAGGACCACATTTGATGAAGATGGGCAATCTGTGTAGAGGACATGTATCTTTGAGCAGTAGATGTGGTTGTTGGTGGCATTACTGATTTATTTCTCTGTTTTCAAAGACAATCATCTACGACTAAGTAGCACTGTTCCCTTAATGTTCCTTTTCCTTGAGCAAGAGGAAAGATTAATGGATCGAGTTTAAAGGGGCATTTCTTACTGACAAAATACTCAATGTTCCCTTCCTAAGTCATTCTGATTCATATTTCTTTTATGTACTACGAGGATAAATCTGTTTTTTTTTTTCTGTGATCAATTCGATCAATCCCTGGCACAATTTTAAAAAAATCATTAGAACTTCAACACAGACGTTCTTTAGCCACACAAGCCTGTAAAACATTTCTTTTTTGGAGTTCAAAATTGAGATGCGTCAGACAACAATAGGCAAAAGGGCATGTCTAATGCACACAGCTTGAATTGACATTAAGTAGACCCCTCTTGAACAAAATCACATAGACGCAGTCCAGTACAGAAATCGAGCTAGTAATGGTGCAAATTAGGCCTTTAAACGCAATAGATTTCAGGGTTTAAATACATCCAAATAGGCAAGTTAACAACCTTTTCCATATGAACAGAACAGAAATTTCAATTCTCCATATCAGAGATAACAAAATCTATCTCTAAGAATATTTCCAATGACCTCTGAATGTTTGCGGTCTTTGACAACCATGAATTCAGAAGGTTAGTAAACACGCTGAAGCTGAGGCACAAATTCTTATCAAGCTCATACTTTAGCCAAACATGATGGCGGCTCTCTACAAAGAGACAAAGGCAATAGTTACACAAAGGCAAGCAAACAGGAAGCTGCTCACTCACCACTGATAGATGGAATCAACCCACTATATTTAATGGTCAAAACTGCTGCAATCTGCATTTGTTTGTTTTCGATTTCGACATTGTGACTTCCGTTCTGCATGACATACAAAAAGTGTAAAGACTGAAATTGCTTCTTTAATTCAGTGATAGATATTGGGAGGTTTTTTTTGTGGGTTTTGTAAATTGATCTCATGTTGTTTCCTTTTTTGGATAAGAATTGTAAAATCCTGGCTCACAGTGACAGATCATTTTTCTGTGGGAAACCTCAAACTGACTGAACACATAGCTGTCACTTTCTGGGTTTGATAAGAAACTGCAGCGGAGCCTGACCCTGGGAATAAAGACAGAAGGCAGCGAGGCAGCACAGACCTGCACTGTCCTTTGGTGGCCACTCAGCTGGTGTGTGTTTATGTGTGTTTATGTGTGTTTGTGTGTGTGTCCGTGCCAGTGTGGAGGTTTCCCAGGGTTGAAGGGCTCCATTGAGATGGGCTCTCCTCTTTTACTCTCATTGCCATGCAGAGGGGACCAGCTGCCTACACTCGGCCGTGACGGCTGAAATATTTACCACTCTGTTTACCAGGGAGGTCCTGACTGACAGGCCCACCCCTCCCCTCTGAGTGGCTCCTACCTAAAACTTCACCCCCTCCCGCTGCCATTATTCCTCGCTCTGAGCTCCTATCAACACGGTTTGCGGGCGTCTTACGCTGCTCCTGTCGATAATAGACTCTTTGAGTGACAGATTTTAATCCTGTCCCATTCTAATGATATTTACTCTCCCCCCCTAGTGTGTCACCCGCTATCAAAATGTCACAGAGAGATTTACAAGTGCGTGAGCTGCCAAACAAAGCTTATTTTAGTCTGGGGCTCTAGGGTTGGGGGGTGAGGGGAATCCATATATACGACAAATCAATGGAAGGGAATTTACAGCTGGCACCTGTGGACTGAAGATTGTGAACAGCTCACATACGCACAAACGACTAAATGATGTGGACGTGTTTGATCTGTGCTTTTATGTGCATGTGCGAGGCCCTTCATCTCCTCTGGTAGTTTGCCATACATGCTTAATATGCAATGGCTAACATAGAACAAAACAAAACATTATTGTTTAGGCAAACCAATACAGATTAAAAGATGAAACACAAGTTAAGGGAAGGTGAAATAATGCAGAAAAAAAGAATGTGCAACTGCATTTTTTGTGTCTTCATACCTTTATTTTTTTTGTCATTAAGCCCGGTTCTGGAAAACTATGATGTGTGAGTTTGCTGCTGCTGCTGAGGGTCCACTATACGTGTTTGGGACAGTAATTTTTAGATTTAGGTTCATTAGAACAGGTGATATAATCTTAAATGATGGTTTTGTATGGTATGTGGTTCAGAGTTATTTCTTTTCCACAATGTTTCCACCCTGTTGCTCACTTAGGTGATTTCCTTCCAGCCCCAGATTCCTGCATCATGATTGGCCTGTCATTTCCCCTGTTTGCAGACAGGAAGTAATATCCCATATTGCTGCAGCGCAAAAGCATTTAAAGCAATAAACTTTACTTTTTCAAAATCAGACAGAAAAAAAGATTTATTTCTTTATTTGTCTGACGTTTCATTTTCCTTTTTATTCCAAGATGTGTTTTAAAACGTCAGTGATGATGATCAATGAAATCACAGGGCGATCTGGGTGAGTGAGAGTCACCAGCGTAACCGGAGTAGTGAAGGTATGAAGCAGTGAGACCGAGGGAAAGTTTGATGAGCTGTGGCAACAACACCTCTACCTTAATGATGTGTCGTTGAGGGAAAACCACACAAGACTGAAGTAGAGAAACCCCAGCCGTGAAATAGGGGACACACGTCAGCAATCCAACACAATAACCACCGCAACCGAAGAAAAGATTGTGCAGTCTGACCTCAACATTATATGCATCTCACGTTAAGTTTAAATTAAAGCAGGAAAAAAATGACCAGTCAGTGACAAAGGAAGTGAGATCAGATAAAAGATCGGTGAAATTATGATAATTATTGACTGTCCAAGTATGAGCTCAGGCTGTGAGGCCAAACCTCAGGGTCACAAAGGCAGAGAAACACTTTCTGCTCAATCCAAACTTAATATTGTTTTGAAAGTTTGGCAGCAGTCAAAGGCAGGATATAGGAGATTATTAACGTTTATAACAGCTGATGGTGAGACAGCATTAGATCTGCAGAACTTTAAAAGTGCAGGATGATGAGACTCTGCTTTTTTGAAAGTGTGGGGGACATACCTCCCCTCATTCTCAGGGGAAATCACACCTTTTGACTGTTTCCACAGTTCAGAGTGCCAAAGGCAAAAATCAGAGGCTCACAATCCCCTCATGTCCTACTCATAATTACCACACAGAGGCTGAACTGACAGCTTCTTCTCAGGTGGCAGTTTCACAGTAAACCTGACATGACAAAAGGTTTTCACTATCTCTTTCTTTCATATCTTTTGTCATCTCCTCCTCGCCTTCCTCTATCCATCTCCCTGCAGTAGCCGTCGATGCCACACTCATTTTATACGCCTGTGGGCTATTGGTGCGATTCCTCTGTGCAGAAGTGAAAAAACATGACGTGCCTTTAGGGCACAATTACCCAATGCCAGCCACTATTACCGTGGTTCCTCTACAATCATTCCCTGAGGGAAGGAGCCGAGGATCCCACACTGCACCGCCCTGCCCCCCTGAGTAATGGATTTATGATACCCCCTCTCCATATGGAGCCGTCAGCAGCATATACATAAACAAGTCACACACATCCTGGGAGCATTTCACTCCACTGCAGCCGTATGTTCATAACTCTCTGCCTGGAATATTCCAGCAGACCTGGCCTTCAGCAAATATGCTTTTTTCATATACAGGGCCATGCACACATCAGTGCGCCAAGTGTGTCCGTGTGATACATTAAAGAACTTCTTTCAGAGATCGGGATATGTAATACTGATAGAAAAAATGTTTTCATTTCTGCATTCATACGACAAGTCCTTGCTCTTTCTGTAAATAGAAAATACATTTTAAAAAATAGTTTAGTTAATTTTAGAGGATTTTATGAAACACCTGCGGTAATAAGGAGCCACCGACCATGACTAAAAATAATGTGGGGCTTAATGATCAGCCTTGCGTTTTTTTTTTCATCTCTGTCTCAGTTTGTATCATTTACTGGTGATGAGGACACCTACTGTCTTCAATGAATGTGGAATACAAACAATTAAAACCGTTGAATTTATTTTTTCATTAACAAAGTTGTGATGGTTCGATAGTCATCCCAGATGTCTCCCTGATATTTAAGAGACGTGTGTGTTTGCTTGTGTAAGTTGAACAAAGGTTCATGAGTTGTCTCGGGATAATCTAAGGCAAACACAAGGAACAAAGCTGGACTACTGACGTTAAAGTCAAGACAAACCCGCACAGAGGAGACAAGAGTGCCAGGAGCCTGGTGTCCTTGGATGTCCTTGGACACTGTGATCATGAGGCCTCTCAGCTCTGTGACCCTGACAGCTGCTGAAACACTCGATAAACTGCCTCTGACTTTAAAGAATAGTGGTCGTGGGTATCGCTTCTTTGGTCCATCAAAAGGTCTCAGTTTCCCTCCAAGAGTTGGTGATGTACAGCCGTGGTTCTCAAGTCCACTGTCCTGCATGTTTTGGATGTTTCCCTGCTCCAACACACCTGATTCAAATGATCAGCTCGTTAACAAGCTCTGTAATGGCTTACAGAGGACTGGACTCGAGAACCACTGATGTAGAGGATAACTAATGGTGATGCTCATGTGAAGCACCAGATGACAGATGGTGACACTCACATCACCTGAAAGTCTCCAGATCCCTAACTAGACCACAGCAAACTATGACTCGCTTGATTTGGTTTAGGTAGGACAAGGGATGGGTGATAAATTATCGTTCACGATATATCATCAAAAAGATCCTCCATGATAAATATTTGCCATCTCATGATAAATACGATAAATGCAAGTTGATGACGTAAGCGCGATCAACATACTCGCAGCCATAGCCCACACAGAGCAGAATAACAAACAAACATGGCCGAAGGTAATGACAAAGATGTTTCTGAACAGCTCATTACTGAACGAGGATCCACATGAGGGATTTCCTTCAAGATTGGGGCTTAGATGAGTAAATCAGGTCTCTCTGACATCGTCCACTGGATCTGCTGCTGTTTACTCTGTGCAATTAGAGTTTTAAATAAATGTTGAAAATGTTTTCACATTTGAAACTTGTTTGATGTCATTCGTTTTCTCCATAACCTACTACTCAAACTTGTGGTCAGGTATCTTATTTGACTATTCCAACTGGTGTTCCCAAGACAAAATGAGTCAAAAGTATAGACTGAAATTATCATATTTTTTATCTGAACTTTTAGCGTTATCGCCAGAATGGCAAATGTTATCGTGATACATTTTTTAACCCATCCCTAGCCAGGACCTCTTGATAGCTTTGTCAGTTGGCTAAACTAATTACTTAGCATTTTTCAAAACCTGAAAATCAATAACGTTTCAGCCTAGGGGTACGGGTGAAAAACAAGAAAAAGAAAATAATGATTCTTGTAAAAATGTTATTGTCTGAAGGAAAACAACACTAAAACATACTCGATAGCTGTATCCATAACAACTCAAATCATTCAAGAGTCTCAATAGTGGTATCAGCACATATAAAAATCAACAATCCCTGTCCCTAGTTATCATGTTAATTCAAAACAAAATTCAGAGGACAGGGTAAAGGGGAGATAGGAGGCCTCAGACCTTCATTTTTTCTCACTCTGGGCTTTTGATTGACTGCTGTGTGCTGACGTCTTCACACACTCCTGAAACAGCGTACACAACACCACACAGACTTCCTTGTGTATTATTCGATATTGAGTGAGAAATGTGTGTGCGTGTGGCAAAATAAGTGTGTGTCCCTGGTGGCTGGCCACACTGTGTACGGATGATTACACACATTGACAACCTGCTTCATCACTGTACACCGAGCCAATGCTACCTGCTCCCATCCTTTCTGCACTAATATTTTCTTTCTACATTATCTTCTTCCAGGGTGCTTCTTCCAAATTTTCTGACAACACATATTTTTCATTTGTCTACATTTTATTTCCGCTGTGTAACCCCACACTGAAGTAATGGGCTATGACATTTTCATTTAAATTAATGTCTGTTTTGTTGCTCCTTTACTGATGGAAATAAAACTTTAGCTGGTTTATAAAAGTTTGAACGTTTGATATTCTGAAAGACTACATTTGAGGTCTTTACAAAGAGAAACCTCTGAGTGAGCAGCCACTGGAGCATGCTGTGTTCCCGGCTCACAGGCAGATACAGACGACTTGGGAAGTTTGCATGAGCAGCGGCTGAACAGACACGGAAAACAGTGCCAGCTGCCAAATCTCAAAATTCATCAACCAAATATGTAATCTGTTCTTGTGGCACAAGCAAAGTTTTCAGTGCATTCAGGAAGGGGCAGATGGCGCAAAGAATGACAACCACAATCACTTCCAACACATTTGGGGTCTGTATTAGACTCCAGGGAGGATGTAGACTCTGCTTGTTGTCACTTTTTTGTCCTCTGCTCTCGCTTTGACCCTCAGCCAAAGAGAAACAAAGGATCTGTTTCAAAGAGTTGGCAGCTTGATGGATCCTTCACTTCAGAAAGTCAGCGCCTCTAAACCCGAGTAGATGGGCTGCTTGAGGAGCTACAAGACCTGATGGTAGTCAGGGTTAACGGCATGCTGACACTGTGCCAACAAACCCACCTGAACCTTCACAGTCCAGAAGAGAGGACTTCTCCCCAAGGCTGTCTCTGTTCACCTGGAAATGTAAAACGCAGATTTGGCCTTCAGGAGCTGGCATGTGAATGTTGTTACAGAATGACAATCAGCAAAACTTCTACCTAAAAAAAACATATGCTACTGAAAATCTGAGAGGTGACAGGCTCAACTTATTTATTTATTATTTCATTTAGTTACTGTCCTTTGTATCATGCTTTTTTGCACATCTACCTACAGGAATCGATAAAGTTACCTTGAACCTTGAATGTCAACTGCTTTCAATCAAACCAACAAACTGAAAAAGCAACAGAGGATCATCTCTGCAGTTACTCTCTACTCTGCAGAGGTTTTCAGCCTTGTTCACTTCTGTGCGTTGATTTTTTTGGCTGACTCATGTCATGTCAACAGTTTTCTGACACAAGTAGCTGTTTTCAGGGATAAGGCGCAATTAAATCCACCGATTATACCCTTTACAGAAGCACAACACAGACTCCAGCAAGGACACTTCAACTTCAAGTTTCTGCTCAGTCATTGAATCTGTTTTCACCTTCAGTGTTCTGCTCCAACTTATCACCAAACACAAAACGAAACTCCTGCATCACTAATCAGGCCTGAAAAACAACCGTCTCACCTGAACCTCGTCTCTTTGGAGGACATGACCCATCAGGTTGACTAGGGATGAACAATGACCATTGAAACTGTCATGTGCACTGCAGGATGAATGGTGTCATTTGTAAGACCTGATGCAAAACTTTAACCCTCTAGCTCCTGGTTTGCAATGTCTTCAATGCATCCTCTTACATGAACACATGCAGAGAGCTGGCTGCTGTGCATGCAGATCTGTCTGTCGCATTTAATATAAAATGCAAACATCAGGGCTGCAACGATTAGTCGATTCGAAAAAAATTGATGATGAAAAAAGTCCTCAATGAATTCACTTGTCTACTATTGTCGCCAAATGTGTTTTTTCCAGTGGAGTGAGGCATCTTACTTCATTACGATCTTTGCCTAGATGTTTTAAAGATTTTTCGGTCGTCAACATTTGGACGAATCAGCACAGCCAAAATAAAGCAGTTGTATTGTAGTATTGATCTTTAATATTGATATTTACCTTGAATTTTTTTGAATATTTCTTACTATTTGCAGATATCCAAGGATAATTTACTGGGCCCAATAATATTCTGTCAACACCAGAGCAGAACCAGTCATCTGCTGCAACTGCATTTGGTTGAGAAGACGCCTTGACATGAAACAAGTGACCAGCAGAGGTCAGTGCTGAGGCTTGAGGTGGAAGTCCACGTTTCATGCCTGTCACAGCTTAACCACAGCACTGATATCATGCAGGACTGATGAAGAAAACAAACAGTGCTTTATGGAGCGCTACACGGTCGCACAGAAACTGCACACTGCAGACATTACTGATTGCATTGGGAATCTTGGTACAAAGGGATAGTTGAATCCTTCTTCCTCTGAGAATTGTATCTCATATAGTCAAGATTTTAGGTTATGTCTTCAGTTTTATTGTATTTTTCAGTCATTGTGCTTCTTTCAAAAGGCAGCAGGATTATGGTTCTATGCTAACAGAGAAAAATGAGGAATCAGTAAAAAAAAAAAAAAAAGAATAGGCAGCTTTTTTATGAGAGTCCAACACCGTAACCTCTGGCTGTATTGAGTCTCCTGTTGCGTCTGAACAGAAGTGAGCCAGAAGCGCAAAAAACCTCCCACTCCCCCTGCAGACTCGAGTCAATGACCTGAAAAGACTGCCGATAAAGCTGGGGAGGGGAAGAGCGATAACACTAACCGCTACAGACCCCGAACAGTGACAGAGGCTATCACTGTCAGAGGCCAAACACTGACCCGCGCCATCCATCAGCGAGAGGAGAGGAAAGGAGAGAAGTGAAGAAGAGAGGGTGTAAGGGCAGGAGAGGACAGGGGAGTGGAGTTTAACCGCCAGAGCTGGAAAGAAATCAGGGCAGGAGGTGAACTTTGAGAGGAGATCGCATGAGAGAACGAGTGGAGGGATGACGAGAGAGCTGGATCGAGGAGGGCAGAAGTGAGACAAAAGAGAGCAGATATTCGAGAGGACAGGAGAGGAGAGAAAGAGAGATGAGATATGAGAAAAGAGCAATTTGAGAGCGGGAGTCAATATGGAAAAAAGAAATAAAGAAGAAAGTATGAAAAATGAAATAAAAGAGGTCAGGTTGGAAAAAGAGGGAGGAAAATAATCTCACAAATTGCACTCGGCTGTTTTTTTGTCTTTCTTTGTCGACCATTAGCTCCACATGAAAGAGCATAACAGCAAATTAACAAGTGCTCAAGTAGACAGAATATGCCGAGCTCAGTATCCAGCTGTAATGTCCTCTAAGTGGAGAAAAACAACATTGTAGATGTAATGAGGTGGAACATGGTGTGTGTGTGTGTGTGTGTGTGTGTGTGTGTGTGTGTGTGTGTGTGTGTGTGTGTGTGTGTGTGTGTGTGTGTGTGTGTGTGTGTGTGTGTGTGTGTATTGGGGAGGGGGGGGTAAACTCCTCACTTCAGCAGAGGGGCCGTACAACACAGCTGACAACCGCAGATCAGAAAGTCAGCACTTCACAGCCACATGTTTCCCCTGTTTTGTTTTTTTTTTTTTTTGTTTTTCTTGGATACAGAAAGTTTAGCAGGACGTTTTTGGAATAGAAGACAAATCACCAGCAGATGTGCTCTGGATGTCTGCCCCTCTGTGGGATGAGTCACCTCTGCATTTCAAGACAGGGACAGCTTTGCCTTTGCAAACACCAGCTTTGTTGGAGTCTGATCTGCAGAGGAATCTCCCACATTGCGTTCGATGTTACAGCAGATCAGCATCATCCATCAACACTCAACAGCGTCAGGATACACATGAGCAAATTAAAAAAGAAAAACAAACATTGATCTAAAAGCTTTCCATCCGATGTTTTCACGTCTACTGTATCTGGTATCTGGCTGCAAGAATATCATTAAAATAGATCTTAAAACATATCCCAGGGGCTCTGGACGGGCAGAGGGTCAGCCCAGGCCCAGGGCACGGCCATGTTTCCATAACACTCACAGAAACCCTCCTCAAGTCTTGAGTCAAACTTTCCTTGACAGATCTGAAGCTTGGCTCGCCTTAAACTGCTGGAACTTGACTTGAGATGTGCTGTGACAAACATGAGACCGGATTTGGACTTGTCCCAAAAGCCCAGAAAACCAGTCAGGTCTCAACTCCAGCAAATGTGTCAGCTTTTACCTCTGAGTCGCCCATTTCAAACCAGGAGATGACAAATATGATAAACATGTGATGATGATAATGTGACTGAAATCAAACAGGAGCGTCCTCATACCCAGAAAAGGCCAGGGGCAAGTGTTTCCATGAGATTTATTTTTAACTTAATTCTAGTGGCTTTTAGCCCTTTGAGGGAACGGCAGCAGCTTTTTACTCTCTCTGCTTTAATAAAAGTCTCCAGGAGGATAAGCAGCTTCTAATTATAGGGTCGGGCCAGCATTAGTGGAATCTCACCTAATGAAATCTCTGAGTAAACATCTGAGCCTAAGAACCCCGAGACAAACATATTTAAAACATGTCCTAGCCTTTATATGACTTAAACAACCTTCATCTCTAAATAGATGCTGTGCTGTGAACAATAACTAAACAGAATTAATGGTTTGTGAATCATTTCAAGCATATATTCTGGCATGAAAAGCTGAAAGAGGGACATGTTTGTCCTTTTGTTGAAGAACCTCGCTTATGGAAAAAGGTCGTAAACATGTGGTAATCATGGAAACCAGTTTATGAAGTTCTGAAAATAAAATGACTCATTATTGCCTGATACAGGATTTCAGCCTCTCAACAGTTCAAGCTCTTTTTCTTTTGTATTTCTGAGTCATGATGCTCCAAATGTTTTCAATGGGGGACAAAGTCAGGACTGTAGAGAGGCCAGTTTGGTGGCGAGACCCTTCTACTACAGAGCCATGCTGTTGTTGTTGCTGTTTGTCATTGTCTTGCTGAAATATGAAGGTCTTACCTGGATAAGTAATTGTCTGGATGACAGTATACGCTGCTCCTAAACCCACAGATATTGTTCAGCATTAAAGGGATATTCCAGTGAAAAATTAAGTTAGGGTCAAACACACCGTGACACCGAGTTAGACACCCCCTCAATAGATGAATGTTGCCAACTGCTTGCTTCTCTAGTTATACCAACTTTAGTAACGACCGCAAGATAGCTATACACAGCGGTCTACGTCTCCACGGGCAAAGCTCAACCAAAAAGCCACGCTGTAGCCACAAATAATGCTCAGAACAGCACCTAACTTCATCAACAGTACATATAGAGTCCCAGCCATAGTACTAGCCACCGAACATCTTTTTAGCTTTGCCTGATTTCTTTTGCAAAGAGACTAAAAACAACTCATTGTGGGTGAACCCTGACGACTTGATCACCCAGTGCAGTGGAGTTTCGCAGCTCAAGGAAGAACATCTATGATCATTACTTCATGGAAATGCAATCAGACCGAGACGCTAAGGCAGAAGAACTACCGCGTCTGCAGTGCAAAACAAATAGTTAGATGATTATTACTTCATGGAAATGATCCGTCATGTCTGTTTTTGATGCAATGCTGCCCTAGGGACAGCCAGTATTGTTTTATCTACAGTACATGATAAAATCACCAAATTCTTTGTACATTTATACTGAGAAACATTCTGAAATTGTTGCAGTGTTTTATCTCACAGTCTCTCACAGTGTGGTAAACCTCCCCCGTCTTTGCCTTTGAGACACTCAGCCTCTCTGGATGTCCTTTTTATACCCAGACATGTTACTACCCTGTTGCAAATCAACACTTTTGCTCGGGAGATGTTGCTCCAGCTGTTTTTTAACATTATAAAACTTGTTCAGTCTTTTTTTTTTGTCCCTGCTCTGACTTTTTTTGAGACATGAAACCTGCATCAAGTTTGAAATGAACATATATCTTTCATAGAACCATACAATCATTTTCAGCTTCAATTCATGATATGTTGCCTTAGCTCTATCTTTAGTTTAAGACAGTGATTAAATTATCGGCAAACCATCAACATCACAGCTTTCCTTGGCATCGAGATTGTATGTTTTCTTCTTGCTGGACACATAAGCAAATAAATATGAGTCTGAACATCAACATGAAGAAGAGCAGCTGCAGTGAAGCAGATCCCACATCTGGAGAAGTGTGCCGTTCAGTGGGGAAAGTGGTAATAACCCTGATTAGTTCCAGTTTTTTGATGGCAGTTCGTGAAGCTTCCAGGGGAGAGTTGAATAGAGATGGAAATCAGGGGCTCAGCTACGGATGATTATCTAGCCACTCCAGATCAGAGATTTCCTCGGGCCTCATCTCAGAGGATAAAGAGGAGATCAGTTCACCCTGCACCGTGAAGCTACCTGTGTCTACTTCATGAAGACACCCTGAAGAGAGCAGCAGGCTGTGTGATCTCAAACAGAAGCAGCATGCATCTGTGTGTATTTGCAGACTGATGTACATATGCTTATCAATACATAGGTATCAACACTAACATAACCACAGAGATGATCTCTAAATCTCCTGTAGATCCTTTTCAGGCTCTGCTTGAAGCTATGATTATTTAATGAATGAACAGTATGCCAGAAATGTTTTTAAAAAAGCACCAGAAATTTCAGCATAATGTGTTGATAAGAACTTAAATCCTTGGCCGGAGAGAGGGTCACGACTCTGCTGAGAAAGCTGTGGAGGAAGCTAAGTGAACCATCTGTGGTTTCTCCAGCTAGGTGTCCATTTTCAGTGTGTGCGTGGGGGAGAAACGCCATAAACATGCCTACACACATGTGACTAATTCCTGTGGTATTTTTTTCTATCATGTTGGAGTGAAAACGCTGGCGTGGTTGTGAGAAGTTTGGCCTTATTTGAGATGTTAGTCATCGCTCAAAAAACAGTGTAAACTTATAGTGAAGCCTTTGAACACAGCTTATTTCTTGGCTTCAGGGGAGCACCTGCAGCTTTTTGCCCGCAGCGGTTTTTCTGATGTTGGTGTTTCCTCTTGCAAGATCAAACACATATTTAGGGCTACACTACATACACTTAAATTCAACATAACATATTAAAGACAGCAAAAACGGAGCTGTGAAACTACAAATATACAAAAACAAGAAACTTCATATTTCATAAAATCCATGATATTAGCATAAATGCTGCTATTTTAAGGACTAACAGCCTGTGATGCTAATAAAAACCCTGCCTGTTTAGCAGCTCATGACTGTGTGATAATAAAAAAGCAGCAGACGGTATTTGTTGTAATCATCTGCTCCCCGAGTCTTTCAGAGTTTGCCAGTGTAAACAGAAGTGTGTGGGTTAACTTCAGCTAAAATACTGCTGAAGTCCTGACTTTCACATAAAATCGCTAAAAACAAGGAGTTGGTGTGCTGTACCGAGGACTGAGTGACCCAGATTTTATTTTCACTTTGTAAAGAAAATAATTTTAATTTGCGATGATGATAAGACAAACACAATTAATGTCAATAAAAATCTAATCCTCACATTTACATGGTATAAAACGTGATCACATGTAAGTGAATCACCCATGGTATAAGGATTAACACACCATGAGAATAACAGTAATCTAATCCACTGATGATAGCTGTCATTATCATTGTTTCTGGACTCTGAACTCACCAGTTTTTTTGGCTGTTTAATGTTTATTTAATTTCTCAGCTGCATTCACAGAGTTTGCGTGAAAGGGGCATCATAACTTATCCTGAGTTGATGGTGAACTTTTTTTAAAGTAAAGGGCTGCAGGTTAAAATCAAATCTGGGCTGCTTTGTCAAAGACTGTATCCTGATAGGCCAAACCAACTATCCCCCACATTGGTGAGAAAATTGTTTTGGAGTGCAGGTAGAGTACTTTGCTTTTATCCGTCACCTCTTTGGACATAATTTGCGCAGCGGTAGGTACCACAAAACTGCAGAAAAAATTCACCAGCTTGATACCTTTTCCTCTCAATCTTAACTTTGTTATACTGACCAGAGTAAAGAACCATTACGCCTCCCACTATGAACCCACTTATGTTAGTGCAATATTTATTTTTTTAATTCATTTTTTAAACTTTAAGACGGTTATCATCTTACAGGTATACTGAAATTTCCTTTGACCTGAGCCTGAACTTGCAGTTTTTACTTTAGAGAAACAATGCTCATTTACTTAAAAGCATTTGATCCTTCGTGCATATTATGGTGCACGCAAGAGTATGAAAGCTATTTTGTGCATATTTACCAAACCTTGCATGCATCTCTGAGTCAGTGAGTCAAAGATTAAATCCAAAAGAGCCAAAAAATGTTTCCTTCACTTATTCAAAAATGTTTTTGTTTTACTTGTTTGATATTTGTATTTACATTATATTTGCCCTTTTATATCAAATATTCTGCATGTTTGAATGCATACTGCACAGAGGCCTGAAGCTGACATGGTTCAGATAACCTGCTTCTCCGTCTCTTTTTGATGGGAGGATTCCAGAGGAGCACAGCGAGGTGTGAAGGTGTTCCCTCTCTTTCTCTCACACACTTGCTGACGTGAAGTTAAAAATAGCAAACATGCGAGAGAATCCTGCTAATTGAAGTCCTTGACTTGCAATGAAGCAGCTAGTACTACATACAGCTTTCATCAACATTGGTTCCCAAAGCCAGCAATCTTTACAGCTTAGTTGTCCATAAATTATGACAAGAGCCATCCTTCTCTTTTGAAAATGGCTCCTGAATTTCTGACCAGCACTTTGCTTTTGGCCAGATGTACTGATAGTTACCTGGGAGCTTCACCCTGGTCTAAAAGCAAGTTATCTGCAGATGGAGTGAGATGTTTACACAGAGTAACAGCTAACCAGAGAGGATTCCTCTGACCTCACTCAGGGGTGAAACCTTTCCAAGAAAACTGAGACAAGAAAATGCAATTAATGACAGGACAGAGCCCTGCAACGACCTGCATCAGACCAAGTCTTTGAAAGAAAGAAGAAAAGATGGGGTTGAAGGGTATCAAGTCTATTTTAGTGTCCAGAGAAAGTGTTACTCTTGAGTTTACTTAGTCTCACTCCTCGTTTTGGAAGTCATTGGTAGGTCAGTCTTCAGCTAAAGCATGCCTGAATGCTTTCTTCTCTCTGCTCAGTTCAGCTCTTAAAGCTAAAGCTGAGAGTGAAAGTCCTTTGACCTTAAACCATACTGATACCCCCAGATTGAAGCCATAAAGAGCCATAAGTAAGAAGGAGACAACCTGAGAATGGCCTTATAAATAAATGTAAGGCAGTGAATTGATCTCTGCATATAAAGAGATGACCATCCAGCCACAGCATACAAATCACAGCAATGTGCTGTAAATTTCCTACCAGAGTCTAATCCCAGAGGGCGGTGTGATAAAAGGTGTCTGACACCTTCAGACATCTAAGGGAGGAGAAATGTACCGGCATCTGAAACAAAAAGTTTGAAAACTACCCCCATGCAATTTTAAATAGGCTGTTTATAAGTAAGGCCTCCAGCGTTAAACAGAGACGGCAGCCTCAGTGTCAGTTCGCCTTGAGAAATTGTCTGTCATGCTGCAGCTTGATTTTTTTATTCTTTAACACAACTTTGACTTTGAAGATAGGAATTGATGACAGCTCAATATGTGGGATTAAACACTGAACACTGAATGGTAACATTAAATGTGCTGTGTACCATTTTATTAATCTACATAATAAATTCAGGAGGACCAAGTGCAGTCCCCTGTGGTCCAACTCCAGAATAACATACCCCAAAAAATGTTATGAAACTAAACACCTAAAGTATTTTACCTCACAAAGGAAGAAGGAGACTGTTGTGGGGATCAGATCAGCATATGCAGAAGACCTGAGGTGATGTTGTACCAAAAACAAGCTCACTGTTTGTTATAAGCTGTAACTCTGTTTGAACTGTTGTCTTAATTTTCAGTTATCACAGGGGATTTTAAGGGTGGGGCGCATGTTTAAAAGAAGAAGACATATTGGAAACGTTGCTCCTACTTCACATAAAGTTTTTCTTGTCAGCATCCCAGTAAGTGTCGCTTAATGCTCAGGTTGGGCTGACGTGAGAACCATAAAGCTATATTCCAGATAATATGAGTATTGTGCAGCTGTAGACCAAGACAACGCAGATTCACTGCTGCATTTCTGGGACCACGTTTCTGACACTTTTGCTGTTTTTTTAGCTTCTGTCATCAAAACATAACCTTTACCCTGATCCTAACCCTAACCAAAAGTGCCACAACACAAGGCACACTACAGAAGCAGTCCCAGAATTGGGGTCCTGGAACTGCAGCCTCCAATTCTGTAAACGCATCACTGGAAAATATATCAAATTAACCAGACACACAACTTTATCTCCATTTTATAGATCAAACTACTGACATACTACAACACTGCGAGATGACGTCTTCCATCACAGCTTGTTCAAGTTTGGATAGAAGAGCGTTCAAGCATTATGGCAATAGCCAATAATAGCAGCTCCAGCTAGTGGCAGGAGGCTGAACTACAGCCCCAACACACCAGACATGCACTTCTGGCTTTCAATAATACATTTAGTAATATGATTAAATGACTGGCTGAGGTATACCAGGTTAAATCTTTTAGTCCACCAAACATGCATGTCTCTCGTCTCAAGCTTGGTACTTTCAAACATGTTTTTTTTTTTTTCTTTTTTTTCACATCACATGTATCATTACAATAGTAACAGAAACAGGCACAATAGTAGTAGCAATTCTATCTATAAAGCACATTTCATCATAACGTTAGCTTACAGCATGGTGAGGACATATAGTCACCTACTGTAGCAGAGGGAGACCTCTGTCCTTGCCCAGTGCATGTGATCTAGGAAAAGGACAGACGTCCAGTAAAATCACCTAATACAGCTATAACCGTAGCTCAACTTAACTGTGCTTGTGAATATACAGACTGACTGACTTGCTCCTTGTTTTGGTACACAAAACTAGTTGCAGTAACGCTTTTTGAGACTAAAAAAGGACAAGGAGTTTCACTGTAAGAAATCAAAATATCATCCCGATTGTGAAACTGTCACATCAGCAACAGAGTGAGTAATTGACTTAAAGCAACACTAAGTAATATTCATGTTCTCATGATACAGTATTTGTTCAACACATTTCCATTTTATATTATCTAAATATCGATCAGTGAAACTTTTATTCAGTTTATTAAAGCTCCTGTGACTGACTTTCAGTTTTTGATGATTTTGGTCAGTGAAGTACAGTAGTCTTTGCTTTCTTTTGGTTATACATTTGTAATAAATACTTATTGCCAAAACCATATCAAAATCACTCTTCTTGTTACTGGTCTTGTTTGTCCGTTCATATCATAAAGAGGTATAGATTTAATTTCCAGCCTGTTTTATAAACAGCAAAAGTTCATTTTAGGAGCTTGAAAAAACAGGAAAATAAGCATAGTGACCAATATATTAATAATGTGCACTACATCCTTAATAGTCAACAGTGTTGTTCAGATGACAATGCAGCGTAATAAGATCCCCAGTTGGGGACAGTGTATAATTACACCATCACCACCTTTTAATCTGCATTAATTGTCCCATGCTATCTTCTCCTCACGACTTGCTAATTTCCAGGTTTGAGAAATGAGCCATCTCCACAGGAGCTTGTTCAGTTTCTCGAAGATCAACACATTCTCTTTGAATTTGTCCTAAATAGTTGTTAGAGATTTTCTGAAATGTGTTTCTTGCATTACTTTCTCAAACACATGCCTGCACACAGTACACCGCTGAGGTTTGGGATGAGAGAGCTCTGTTGTTTGGAGATACTCTCTTTAAAGACTGATGTAGACTGTTAAATCTACACAGGATTTGTGTTTTGATGCTCATAAACACCTTTGTCAAGCTGCCAGCCTGAACCTGGATTTCTGCTTGGCTGCTCTCTCGACAGTTGTCTCCAGACAAAAGGCTCCATGTAGCACTTACACAGCTTTTATACCTCTACGGCAGGAATTATTAAGTGATCACACAGACCTCTTTCTCCTAAGACTGCCGTCATTTCATCCCTGAATGAGCAGAGTAATAAAAGAGGTAACATTTATAATTCATTTGATCTGTTTGCGATGAATGTTTTCTCTTTTCCTAGTGAGTGCCAAGTGTCACCCTGGCAACATGCAATCACACCACATGACAGTTCTTGACTTCACCCAAGGCATGACAAATTTCTACAACTGTGCGTCAGCAGTAATCCTGCCCAGAGGTTGCTTAATTTATGGAGCTTTTCAATGTGTCAGTGCCCACATGCTCATTCTGCAGTGAAAAGAACCAGCATCAGTCTCTCTTAAATGAATCCTCAACAAACAAGACTAAGTTGATCACATTACTTGGACAAATATCATTATTTTCAAGCACGCCGTAAATCAAGAGGTAAAGATCGTCACATTAAACTTATCCTGCCTCGATCACTGTTTTTGAAACTGTAAATATTTCACTAAATGTCATCAAACTAACCCTTAAAAGTCTGTTAACGTAACTATTTCATAGCTTACAGCGAAACAACAAAGGAGAGTGTAACAGCTACAGATCCTGATATTTTTCTCAGAGTCGAAACAAGAACAGGAAGAGAGTGATTATTGGGTGGATATTTATCAGGTGGGTGAACATATCTTATAACGTCAAGGGTTTTTGGGGACATTTCTACTTATTGCACAAGTCTTTTTACCTCCGCCAAGGAGGTTATGTTTTTGGTAGCATTGGTTGGTTTGTTTGTTTGTTTGTCTGTTAGCAACTCTACGGAGAAAGTTACAGACGGATTGATCTGAAATTTTCACCAGAGGTGCGTCTCAGCCCCAAAAGGATCCCATTACATTTTGGTGGTGATCCGGATCGCCTTCTGGATCCAGGAATTTTTTGAAGGATTCTTTATCATTGTGAGATAGGGCACATTTTGGAATTTTTGCATTTAACTTTATAAAAATGACCAGAGTCTTTAGTAAAAAATGACACAAAAGGATCTCAATGAGTTTTATGAGGTGTCAAAGGTTGATCCTGATCCAGACAAAATTCCAGATACTGTGATCCAGAACACACAAAAATAAGGGTGTCGTTGGCATTTTTAATGCTGAATACGACAGGCAGGCAAAAGGCAAAGTCCAAAAACCGTTTAGACTGCCAGACTATTCAAAACAGATGCTCAAGTTGCTCTGCGTAGTATTAATGTGACTATCCTCCTCACAGGTTCACCTGGCTAACACTTATTTTGTTCTTCTTCCCAACAGGCTGAAAAGCTGTGACCAGATGATTTCATAGCTGTCAGGAAGAGGGGAGTTATGTTTAAAAAAGTTGTTCTCTTGCAAATTTAACTTAATTTGTAGACTTTTTTTATCATGGTCGAAAATAATTATTCAAGGTTTAAAAATACTCGTGTTTACAACCAGCTTATTGACTGGAAAACAGGAAAACAATCATCGTCTTAATGACAAAGTCACCCTCTTCATTGACCCTCCCATCAATCCAAACTGTCGACTAAAATAGCCGTTAGACGTTCAGCGTGAGCGCCGACGTGTGAATGCAGCCATTGAGGCACTTCCTGGTAAAGCTTTGTGGCTGTTTTATGGTTGTCAGCCTAAGTTCCTGTCTCACTCCACACATCGGCTAAGCCTCATTAAGCATCCTTCCCAAGCTCCTTGTTTAGGCCCTAATTAGAGCAGCCAATGGTGTTACAGAATCTGGTCAACCTCCAAGTCCCTCCGAGCAGAGAGGCTCTCTGTCAGGAGGCCTTTGGGTGTGTTCAGGACAGGCGGTGTTTGCTATTTCACCTTCAAAGTGTGGCGTTTGTAAGTGTCTGAGTCTGCTGTCTGAGCTGACTGATTGAGTATTTAGTCTGCAGCACGGTGGGTGTCACACACAAAGCGACGTGTAGCGCTCAGAGGCAGCCCAATAGCACTGTCTGTCTATGTCACCCAACACTGTTTCTACAGTCCCACTCTATCTTTCTTTTAATCCATCTTCTGTCGTCCCGCTCACTGTCTTCTCGTCACCAATCTATTCATCTCACCCCTTTCAATGACTCCCTTTGTCTTCCCCCACCTCACTGTCTCCTCTTCCTCCCTCTGATGTCACAAATTCAGATATGAGCTCCGCTGATGGCACCCACAGCCTCGGACACTGCCGCCTTGTTTGGGAGGAGGAGTGATCAGAGGATGAGAAGATGGAGGGAGGAGGAGTGAGTCGACAGCGCTGGGATTTTCCGAGGCAGCGGGGGGAATGTAAGATGCAGAAACAAAGGAGGACATCTAGGTTAAAAAAACACGCCTGAATGCCTCTGAAAGGCCTGTGTTGTGTTGCCGGGTTGTCTCATCCCTGTGACTCGGAGCCAGCCGTGCCTGTCAGGACTGTGGAGTCTATTTCTGTAATCTGCCCTCTTTCTTGTGGATAGAACAGTTGACTGCTAATTTCCGTACCTGGGGGGGTGAGGGGGCGTTTTTAGACCCTGAACCTGGCACTGCCCCTGTGATGCATGTGGCGTCTTCAGCGCAGACAGGTCCTGTGCCTGATTATCCTCAGCGTCATGCAGCAGGTCCCACACTGTTATTCACTTCCTATTCAACAAAACACCCGAGTAGTGGTATGTATTTGTTGAACATAAGTTACAGGATGTTGAAATGCATCTATGAGGCCTTTATCTAAACATTTGATGTTAATGAGGGGTCAGTAAGCAGTTCAAACCACTGGACCGCAACCGTGCCACTCAAAGGGAGTCCTGCAGGTATTTTGTGGTAGAAGAAGGTTACTTTATCTCCCAGAGATGAAAAAATATCTGTTTAAGTGAAGATGTTGTGAAGCTGGACCATATGAACCTCGAACTCCTGCTGCCCTGACGTCATTACTGAACAAAAATCCACGTGGTCGTTTTTTTTACTTTGAGGACCTCCAATCTTGAACATTTATGTGTGAAAGCCCAGAGCGACTCCTCCTTAATTTCCTCTTTTGGTTACTACTAAATTCTTTTGTATTCCCATTTTCATTCTTTCTTCTTTGAGAACTCTCAGCTGCAGGGGAAAGAGTGATTTTAGCTCATTTACTGACTCATCTCACCACAATTATTCTTTTGTATTAGCAGTATTTTTAGTCTCACCGTGTTTCGATCAACCTTCCAACCACTTGTCATCTTCGTAACCATGAGCTGGTGCCGCACAGTTGTACCTCTTAGATCGATTGTTGCTTGTGTAAGTCCAAAGTGGGCAACAAACCAAAAGATATTTGGGCTGATTTGGGGGCCTGTGTCCCTCCTCCTGACAAAAATCAGCAAAGTCCCAAAACTGATACTAATGTTTAACAGATCAACTCATTTAAATCCATTAATTCTTCCTATTTTAGTCTATTTTTTATTCGATGTTTGTGTCAATAGCTGCTTAAATGTCTTACAAACTGTATGCTGATGACAGACTGTGTCATGCTCCCACACTGCACACACTGTCATTCATGTTTTATCATCAACATTTCATGAATTAATGAATTAACCCATTTAGGATGCAGGCGACTTCTTCTACCCAGTTGAAGCTTCTCCGAATTAGCACTACGGTTCAATAGCTTTACAGATGTGCATCAATTTGATGAAGCTAAAGATATGACACTAAAGGATACCTATAAACATCTTCCCTTACTGCAGGGAATGCACCATGAAGCAACATTTAGCTGGACAACCATCCCAGTATCGACCATGGTGGTGTTGTCTAATGTTACGTTTCACCTTTGTCATATTTTTGCACATTTCTATTGCACATGTTCGTGGCTTATCTTTGCTGGAATCTGAGCTGACTTAAACCCTGATTGTTTTTATGCTTTGAGTGTTTGTGTTGAAACTGGAGCAGTTAAAGACAACATGCTGTTCTGTCAGGTTAAATGGTGGGAAGCTATTTCTACATCTCACTGTGACGACGTCTCATATTAGCAAACAGGGGGAATCAGAGGAGGAAAAGAGTTGGATTGAACACAGTCGAGTAATGCACCAAAGAACAGGACATATTAAGGGTTTCCTTGAGTGTTTTTTGACCTTTAAATGCCTCATGTTTTCTTACCTCTGTAGAAATCTGTTGGGCTGTTTTAACAGCTGCTAACCAAAAGCCTGTCATCAATCTCTGTTACCGAGCAGTCTAATTGCCTTCTGTAATAGTTCAAAATTCATTTCATTCAGTCATTTTTATCAGCTCCTTGTTTGAATCAATAAATGCGGTTACGCAATTTAATATCTTGTATGGGTAAAGCCCAGCAGCTTGTGCTTGCCTCTGCTTCGTTTGTGCAGGTCCATATCAAAGCATGCATAGCAGGCATCAAAACAGTAACAGCAATGTGAGACGCTGCATTACACAGATTAAATTAGCCTGAAACAGTTTTCTTTCATCGCAGGTATTTCAAGACGTGACCTCACCTGTTGAGACTCTAACACTTTATTGTGAAAACATACAACATGACAGAGCATTTTCAGCCCTGCCCCTGAGTGCAGAAAGGTAACATTGCGCAGCTATGAATCAACAATGATTAGGGGCATATGCTAATGGAAATTTCACCTGATGTATACAGGCATCGATGAGCATATGTGTTTTTGCAGCGCCCCCAATAGTATGACTGTGTAATTGGACTAAATTTATCCCAAGCGGTGTTTTCACGCAGTCATCCATGCAAGGAAATACACAAACAAGAATATTTCATTGTATTCAAAGCTGAAAAAAGCAGGAAATCTCAGCGAAGGACTGTTTTAGAAGTTGTTTAGATAAATCAGATTTGAATGTCTTTCTCATTTAGTGTGTGCACATGCAGTGTGCCACAGATTGGACTTCATGTGAGCTCTGCTGCAGCAGTAGGAGAGATGAGGGAGGCTCCTTGCACCAGAAGAGGACACTGAATGACAACCCATTTTGTGGCGAATGAGACTGCTGGCCAACAGTGAGTGATACCAGGCTGACTGAAAGTGCGCCACAGCAAGAGGCTCAGAGCGTTCATCTGCCTACTCCACTGCAAAGAGATCAGCTATGTGCCTCCTCTCTCTCTCCCACGAGCATCACTGGGCAGGATTCCTCCCTGCCTCCTCATGAATTACTAAGACAAGCTTTGAGCAGCAAATAAAGAAGTAAACACAGGTGGGCTGTCTTTATGTAAAGGTTACACAGCACTGTGACAATTTAGTGATTTCTTTTAAAAACAAGATGAAATAGTTGAAACTTTGTGTAAGAGAACAGTTTCATTCACTGAGCCCAAAACGCCTTTTTCCCCTCTCCCCCTCTTTTCTCTGTTTATCTGTTTACTCTTTAAGTCTCAGGGGAAAATTGACAATTTGGTTTCCATAAATATGACAAACTCCAGAGTGATACTTCAAGGGAGAACCCAAACGCCAAATTTTAAAACAGAAAAAAAAATGCTTTTCAATGCAGCTTTTCTCACAGACAACGGGACACGTGCCTCTTCGAAAGCATCCTGCGAGTTAAATATGTTTATGTATTTGTCATGAGCAGTGACAATAATAAAAACCCTTTAACGATGTTTGAAAATAGATTTATACACTGAGGGACGTGCGAGGAGGTCATTTCTAGCAAAATAAAAAAAAGCTTTGGGGTTGGGCTTAAACAAACTCTGATGTATGATTTCAGGATTTTGTGATATTTGTTAAAAAAAAAAAGTCCAAATATAAGGTTTTCATAGGGTCAAATTATTGTGGGGGAAAAACCCAGAGTTTTAAAATAAACGATTTTGAATGAAGTGAGGCGACACTGGGTCCCCAGAGAACCTCCATCCTCACGGACAGACTGAGCACCCACACGGCGACTGTCCACCAGTGGTGCGACTCCCTGAGCAGTGGCAGTTTGGGTGTGAGACTTGAAAACGCAGAGCCACTCCACAACATCACCACATCATCACGATTAAACACCATTATAAACAACAACAAGTAGCCACCAGGATATTTCCCAACTTAAAAGGCAGTCTTTTCTCAAAATTTGCCCTGAAATGGTGATTTTCGGTGACCGAATCTGCACGTAGCTCACCAAAACAAAGCGCAGAGACGATACTCACTATGCTGTGTGAATGCCGGGTGTACACTTAACTTAAAGGTGTGCAGAGGTATCAGTAAGAGTCCGAGGAATAGAAAAAAAAAAGAATGTTACCTTGAGTAAGTTAGGAATCCCTTTGATGCATGCTGTCTGTGGTCAGAGCTCGGCGCGTCTACAGGGCATTCACCAATTCCCAAAACCCCGGAGATGATAAGTCCTAGGGTAAGTCCACAAAACGCATTTTTCTCATCAATTCTGTCCAACAGTGGTTCAAATAACGCGAGTGGGATAAAAGAGGAGGGAAACTCAGAGAGGAGTCCTGCTGTCCGTTAGTTCCGACTGCGCTCCTTGTGCGTAAAACAGCTTCAGAAATCCCGAAGGTGTCCACCGACAGTTATTCTCTCACATTGTTCCAAAATGACACGTCCTTTTGCTCCTCTTTGGTGAACACAGGTGGAAATCCTTCTTTGAAAATGTTGCCTTTTTTTTGGTATTCCAGAAATTCTTAGATTTGTTTAGTAAAAAGTTATTCTCCAAATTAAATCCCCTCCGTCTTCAGGTGACACGGTCTTCCAGGTGAACGTGGAGATTTAACGGAGCGGCAAATGAAAGAGGGCTCGCGCGCGTCTCGGGAACCGCCGTCCCCAGCTCGCGGCTCTAGAGCGTCCTTGTCTGTCTGTGTGTCCGCGCGCAGCAACAGCCGGATTCCTTATTTGGATGCCCGGGGCTCGTGCTTGCTACTGTTAAGAGAGTCAAGTTGTATCAGAATGACTTCCAGCTAAATCTTTCAAAATAAAAAAAAACGTAATTGGGGGAAGTGCTGCAACATTTTTCCTGGGGACTGTCTGATTAAAGCAGCACTTAAAAGGTGAGACGAATCCTTTTATTGTTAACCCTGTCAGTAGAGACGCAGACAACCACGAGAACTACTTTCAATGGGCAGAACAAACAAATTCAACAAAAACGCGCCACCAAAATTCATCAACTGTACGTACATATCAAAAATGAAGTATTTTTAGGTGATTTTATAGACTATCAATAAAATTTTAAAAAGTTTAAGGCACGTGTAATCATTCTGTTAAACACATCTTGCTGTAAATTGTGTAACCCTTGAAAATCACTCGCCTTTCATTTTTGCAGCCTGCAGCCTTTTCATGTCAGCTCTGTGGGACACATGTTCAAACTATCTGATGTACCTCGACTGCCACCTCAGTTCCCATTTTATACAACATGTCAGAACAACCCCTGCGCCCCTGTACTGGTGCAGCATTTGTTTCTCTTGTACATCATCGAAGCGCTGGAGAGGGAGGGGAAAAAAAGATGAAACAACATTCAATGAAAGAGGCATTCCCCTTGGGACCGCTCTTATTGTGAAAGGAAAACGCTCAATTTCCTGCCAGATTCTGCCTTTTCTGTGTTCAAAGCTGAGGGGTTCCTCGGAATAGAAAATTCACCCAGCAGCCCCCTCTTCTGGAGTCAAACAGCGTCAATTGGATGTTGTGTCAAGTCGGTGGCACCACCTACATTTACCTCACAAAGAGGAAGGTTCACAGTAAGTGGCCAGGAGCACAGGGACTTTTTTTTTCAAAGATTGTGGGATAGTGTCCTGGGATTTCAGCTCATTTTATGATGCAGGAGCTTCTGGGTGATCTGTTCATTTCCCCAACACGACAAACTGATCTCTCACTGAAAAGAGATCCAGCCCAAAGTTAAAATACAGGGAGGAACTACTCAAGAAAAACAATGTTATCTTTCTCAGCATTTTATAAGAATACTGGGGTCACACAAACCTTAACATTGCATTCAAGTAACACACCAATCATCCTGGAGCCACATGACTGAGTTAAAGCTGATGGTAAATGTAAAATAAAATAATAAATTGGAAATTCAATTGAGTAAAAATAATGGGATTTTCTTAAGAGTAAAACCCGCATTTAGGGAGATTAAATTTACATTAAGGGATTTAAACTTGAGATTAAATCTAGTATTAAGCACACATACAAGCATTAGGAGCTCTGAGCACACAGAGCAGCAAACAGGACCTCTGGCTGCTGGCTAACTGAGCTAATCAGCTAACCTCTGCAGCAGCAGGTAGAGGTGACTTTGTTTAGCAGAGCTGTTGTGGAACAGCAGCTGGAGAACACCTGAGTAGTGTTATTTAGGAGTCCACATTATCAGTGCAAATCCTGATGGACACAACTGTTTATTTTTGAGACCCTATTTATACAGATTAAAAAGATACGTGACCTATCTACAGATTTATGGTAAATGTGATCCGGATATATTGAAAAAGAGGACAACTCAAGACCACGTCTTTATTATTATATCCCAACAGACTGTTTGACAATGATTTAAAACCTAAGAAGACAGCATATTGTGTCGGATTTTACACACTTTTTGTGACCTTTTTTTCTCTTTATTTAGACTTAAGTTATTTTGAGATGACTACAGAGAGTGTTGCTGAAAATCCTTAATTTTAGTAAGGCAGGATCAATAAGAGTTTGCCTCGAGCCCAGTCCACATGAATGTGGATATTTTTGAAAACGTGTTCTTTGCCTCTGCATTTTGGCTGTATATCAAAAAACAAAAACAGTTTCTGGTTACTGTGCAGGAAAATTCCTTCTCCTCCTACAAATAAAGAATCTGGAGTTAAACTGTTGTCTTTGTGTATTTAATATATTTTTGTTGAAATAGAGATTGAACATCGAACAAGTATCAAAGACAGTTGTGAGGTGAACTCGGTGGCAGTCTCACACATGATCCTGTTTTATTTGTGATTCAGGGCGGCCAGTTGAATATTACATGAGTGATAACACTCCATTGGAGGGATGCGCCTTAGAGACTGACCCTTTACTATACACCCATTAAACACATTAAGATAATAGTTTTCCAATCTCCCTAGCATCCGAAAGAATTCTCTGTCCTTTTTTGTACTTTTCTCAAAACAAAGTGTACTCAGTTTATCTACCCGATGACCTTGTAGGCTGCGGTGTTGACTAGGACAGACAGCCAAAACAACTTACACGAGCACTCAAAACATGTTGAACTCTGTATTTTTTTCTTCACTTTCATCTTTTAAAAGATTTTAAAAACTCTGATTTCTCTGTGCTTGTCTGGACAGCAAAAACTGAGATTTCAGGAAACACTGTGGTCTGTACCTGCTGGTGGTATTTTTATGGATTGTTCGTGCACGGAGATGACAGGCTACAGGTTAGTCTACCTGTGCTCGGTACTGTCAGGTTTAATTGTATGTTTACAAGGGAAGCTGGCTTCTCTTTCTCATCATATTTTGGTGCAGAGGTGAACAAAATACTACAGATTGATGGCATTTTATTGGTCTGGCATGCTTATATCTGCAATTTCAACCATTTCTGCATTATCACACGGGCAGAGAAAGATTTATAATGACCTCTGTACTGGATAGGATGGAGAGAAATTGTAAAAAAAAAAAAAAAAACCAGGATGCTTTTTCATGAATGCAAACCACACTGGAGTCTCTAATTAACACAGTAAAAACTAGATGGAAGTATTAGCGTCACTAATACACGGATGAATATTATGTCCTTGAATTAATAAGTTCTGAAAACCGCTCAATGTTCAACTCTCTGCACATCACTCACAGCGTGTGGAGTCATTGATCATTCATGATATCAGGGCGTGCAGAAAACGGCAGGACAGATCACACCATTAATGCAATCAGCGATGGAGCATAAAAAAATGGAGGCTCATGGATCATGTATTACATCAGAAGTTAACCTGAGCGTATCACCAGTTTGTCATGACTGTATGAGTTCACAGATGGCTGAAGACAGTGTGATTTGTCCTGTGCTCCAGTGTTTCATCATTTCATAAGGATAATAATAATAATAACTTTATTTGTAAAGGACTTTTAAAAACAGATGTTTACAAAGAGACGGAAAGTGAAAGAGCACAAGAGCTTCAGCGCAAAAAAGCACAAATCAAGGCATCAGAAATTGAAGACCATTTTCATATCTCCTAAGAAACCCCCAAAAATATACAATATACAACATAAGATAAAAGACGGCATCACCTAAAAGCAAGTCTGTAAAAGTGAGTTTTTGGGATTAGCCTAATAGAAACAACTGACTCAAAAGAACAGATAAATGTAAGGATGTTAAAATGAAACCTTAAGGGAGTTTCACTTTAGTTCTACAATATTAGATCAGTTCCTTATCACCTCACAGTATTTATAAAGGTTTGAAAAACAAGTGTTAGACAAAACATGGTGCCATTGCTGCTACATGTGCTTTTCATACCCTGCAGTAAAACAATAGCTTGATATGATAAATTTGTTTTTATAATTCAGCCATAGTCATGGATTTTAATCTCCTACAATTTTCCTCAAAGGGATAATACAGAGTTTCATTATAGTCTCAGTGATTTTTTGTTTTCTGCAACAGAAACTAGAAAACACTGTCTTTGAAACCTGTCTTGTAAAATAGAGAGCTGTGAACATAACTTTAAATGCATATGGGAGTCTTTTCCTGCCTGTATCGACTTCCTTCACTTGGACCATCCTGCTGTTGCCCATGAGGGTGCTTTTTCCAGCAGAAGTTTATGTAACCGGTGAGTGTAATTTTGGCCGGACACCGAAACCATCACAGCGTATTGGAATAGATGGAGTGTAAATAATGTGCAGCGATTTGAATCTCACCTTGAGGAGAAGTGCGATAAATGTCGTAAGAGACAGTCATCAGTATTACATCATGGGCTGCCATGCGTACAGCCCAGAGGTGCTAATGGCAAAAGAAGGTCAGTTTCTTCTGCCGGCCAGTGTGAAGTTTCCCTCCTGCATATTTGGGTAGTTTGATGATTCAGCTCAGTACAGATATGGTTCAAAGACAGAGACTGTCATCAATATAAAAAGAGAGACCAATTCTGCTGCTCAGATACGTTTTCTGTAGGCTCGTTCTTTTAAGTCACTCTCTTTTGTTTTTCTTGCTCCTACATACACCTTGGATGTGATTTTTGAATAAAATGCATTGCAGCATAATGTCAACATTGCTACTTCAGCAGTTCACCGTAGTGAGAGTCATCATAGAGGACACATGTCTGCAAATGGTCGATCAAAAATGACAGCCATGGATTCTCTACAGTTGCCTTAACCACAGAATCAGCACCATGGACAGCTCCTCTGACAAAAGGCTGCCAGGGATGGGAATCCAAGGGTTCCCTGACTGAATTTAATTTATTCATATTTCGAGTATGAACACAGACGAGGAGCAGGACATTTTGGGGTATATTATACAGAATTAACTTAATTTCTGTGTTATTCTTCAATTTATTTTCTCCCTTTTTCCATCCTTCTTCTCTTTCTCTCTTGCATCCTTCCTTTCATCCTTCCTTTCGTCCTCTTTTTCCTCTTTCCTTTATTCCTTCTTTATCCCCCTTCTCCTCTCCTTTTTTCCCTTTATCCCTTTCTTCCCCCTCCTTTCTTTTTCCGCCCCTTCTTCCCTCCTTTCTTTCTCGCTTCTTTTCTTTTTCCTTCCTTCTTTCTTCCTCCACTCTTTCTTTCATTAGTGATTAAAAAAAGCCGTGACTGATTCCTTGTTGTATTTTTCTGTCTTTTGTAACAGAGCTAAGCTGTTGTAGAAAAACTTCCTACTTTATGTATTTTTCCTAATAAGGATTGATAACTGTTGAAGAAAAACTTTAAAGAGTGTTTTAATAATGTTCACAAGCTTCTTTTAACCCACAGCTGCATCTATACTCCAGACCAGCTTTTTTGTTCAGCATCTTGTGATAACACTTTTTGTTAATTGGCACTATAAAATTAAAGATTGGTTGATCTTTTCTTTAATTACATTTTTGGGCTTTTTTTTTTTTTAGGTCTTAATTTTGAGAGGTAAGGACAGTGGGTGGAGTGGGAAATGGGGAGAGAGCAGGGAGTGACATTCAGGAAGATGCCACAAGTTGGAGCTGAACCCAGGTTACCCATTTTGGGAACATAACCTCTGGATAGGAGACCTGGACCTCTAGGTTAATAGCACCCCAGTTACAACTTGCTGATAAAGCTCTGTCTTTATATGCTTCTCAAATACTCTCTCTTTAGAGTAAATGCATGTGTAGTCCTATAAAACAATAAATCTTCTCCAGCTGCCTGCTGTGATTTACCTTGTTGGAATATATCCTGATGACAGCTGTGAACAAAATAAAAAATAACTTGGGGAAAATGGTTCATTTCCATACAGGGCATTTGTATTGGATTTTGTCTTTTGATACGTAGCTAAAAACTCCATATACTAGGTTAAATTAATGAGATTTTACTGAGAGGATTCAGACACTAAAGGTCACATTGGTCCACAGCTTTCCTCTCTTGCACCTTCATTCCCATAATAGCTCTGGTCTAGCTCTTGAGATGTTTAAGAAGCCTGTAAAATGAGCTTACAGGTTCAGCAGCAGACCAGAGGATGGACACACCAAAACAATGACAAGTCTAATCTAATTCTGTAGTTTGTCTCTTTTTCCTTTGTGAGGGAGGTTTATTTTTGTTGATATTATATAGGAGGTTCTAACTTCAGTCATTACAGAACTGCATAATTGAATCACATGCTGCAGTACCACCATTTCTCTCATTTATTTTCTCTCCCTTAGAAGCCTGAAGCCTGAAATATAAATGTCACTTGTTGTTATTTTTGCAGCTAAGATAATAGTTGTCTGTAAAACTCAGACCATCAAGCAAATTAATGCAATGGCAAAGCAAGGTAAGTTTATTAATATTGCACCCTCTAGACATAAAGTAATTTAAAATGCTTCGCAGGGGCAAAGGAAACTGTTAAAGATACACCACAACATCAAAGCTGCATATAAAGATGATAAAACAATCAACATAAAAGAAATAGCATCAAAAGATACTGAAAAATCGGTAAAAACCAAAAGCAAAGGAGGCCAAAAATAGTTACAGGTAGACAGAAGCATGGTTATTTTCCCGATTTAATTGAAAGCTGAATGAAGTAGCAATATTTTAACACCTGATTTTAGTGAGAAAACAATTTTGGCAGACTTCATGTTTTCCACTGTCAGGGGACAGGACAAACACTCTGTTTTGGTCCTGGGAACACCAAGTGTGCATCTGTCCCACATGACCTAAGGGAATGCTACAGAGTGTACAAGTAAATTATGAGTAATTTTGTGTTTTATGGCCAATCAGTGTCATACTTGGGAGTAAACTTTCTTTTTGAGTTCACACTATTCCTCTGGTGAGTGCAGGATGGAGAAAAGCCATGAATACTCCATATTGACTTTCAGCTCAGGATCAGAACCACAGACAGCTCCTAAGGCGTACCAGAGGCTGGAAAAGCAGGTGAATAAAACAGCCGTTCTGTTTTCAAATGCCAAGATCGAGCTTTGAACATTCATATGAAAATTTGTACCAGCAAATGTCAAACATTCAAAACTTTTTTTGTAGAAAAAAATTGGAGGTCTGTTTGTTCATTAAAATTGATTTAAACGCTTGTTAAATTTCATTTTAGAAACAACTGAGTACAAACAGGAACATTTAGTGATAACTGGCTGTCATATTCTAGATTAAAATGTGTTCTTGCTCACCCCTGCCAATACTGTGCATAGATTTTTTGGTTGAATACAATTATATTTTGGGGAATATTTTGGACTCATTTTGCAACTCATGAACAAGAACATAAACGTAGTTCACTCTAGAGTCAGTCTGTATGGAGAAGAAGTGACTTTTTTGTGTGTGTTCAGTGTCTTTTTACTTCTGTCTCTGATTTTCCCTGTGTGTATTTTGGTTAAAAGTCAAAACCATTGGTCAAATATTCTTTCAAGAAATTAAAGTTGTTCATGTATTTCCCATATGGCAAATCTGCAGGTTTTTTTTCCCTCATGTTTAATGGGTAAAAACTGGATTTTCTGTCTTTATAAGTAAATATCTGCCAATCACTCCACAGAAGTGTGATCATTCATTCAATTTGGGGGATTGTCAATTAACATGGACTAGGGATTTCAGCTCAGGAGGCTCAGAAAATTTAGATGCAACTTAAAATGAATGAAAGTGAACAACAGTACTTCATTTTTTGGACCATGAACTTGGTTCATAATTTAAAAAGATGAACTGTGAATATAAATTACTTCATTTTGATCCATCTGAGCTGGATTTTAAGGTAGCTCCTTTCTAGAGTGAACTTGTACGTCACAAGAAACTCCTGTGATGTACGACAAGCATGACTCTTCATTTTTACAGTTTTATTTTAAAAACGTCATCAAAATCTGACTGGTTTGTTCTTTTTGTGCTATTAAAAGGATGTGCAGGATGGTTGCCTCCGTCAAACGGGACCTGCTCCTAGAAGGTTCACTCTAACTTAACAAAAACAAAACGTGCATTTTGTAAATATATTCAGGTGGTTATATGCTAATTTGAACATACTTGTGAAAATAGGATTCTACTTCTACCAGGTCTGTTCTGCTAAATATTGCTGAATACTGCACACTGTGCCTTTAAATCATTTTCAGACTCTTGCAGCACAACACACCAAAGTCTTCCTGTGCCTGGCTGTGGGTGTTATTACTGAGGTAGAAGTTAATGGATCATATTTGACACCTGGTTCTCAGCATTTGGTGTTTGCATGCACTTTTGTAACACAGCTCTCTCCCTGATTTATGCGTTTGCCTTGTTATGTACAGTACGGAAGTAGGTTTGTGTGACTGTAACTTGAACATTTGCTCTATTTTCTTGTGTTAGAAATTCACTTTGCATTGACTCTAACTGAAAATCAAGAAGAAAGCATCTTTCAAACCAGAGCCAGCCTTCACGCTCAGATAAAGGAGTCTGCATGTCGGTCTGATGAAAGCTCTGGACTTTGGGTCATGAGGTCACAAAAAACATTAGGAAATAGAATAACTGCAGACAGTGCACACTGCAGCACCTTGACCCTGAGTCCTCGTGGGCAAACAGCAGCAATAGTTTTCAATCCGTCTTCTCTCTGTGTTTTTCTTCAAGCTGGAGATGATATATATTGATGTTTTACCTTTACTACCCACACACACACACACACACGGACTGTAAACTCACTTTCGCCTTGAGCACTGCCACACAGCTGGGAAATCCGTCTGATGTGAAACCCACAGAGATCTGAGAGTCTCTGAAAGATGAGACCGCAAACAAATACATCTTCCCTCCTTCACCTTCATTGTCTCCACTTCAATCAGACACAAAGGGGCATGTACAAGTGCACATAAGGATACACACACACACAGAGACAGTAACACAAGACCACTTTGCAAACAGTGTCGTCAAGGCTAGCTGTCAGCAAGCTGTTTCACACATGAATTTTTCATGTCAGAGCTGGATGACTGAGGTGCTGATGCCTTCAAACCTCTTCCCGAAAAATTGCAATATTTGATCATTCCTGCGAACAAATCATGACTATCTTTTCTTTGGAGCTTTGGAGTAAACCACAATGTTTCTGTGTCTGCTCACAATCTCCCGTTCTGTTGTGCTGCACTCAGAAGCAATCAAATCATGCAGCCTCATCATGAACTGCATTCACAGCAGGCTGAGGGTGCATTTTCGGAGGCTCTTTGTGTTGGAATTATGTTCAGCTAAAGTCCAACAGCACGGGGAGAGAGAGAGAGAGATGTATAGAGAGAGAGGGAGCACAGGGATAAGTGAGGGGAAAGCAGCTGTGTTAGCAGCTGAACTAATAAAAGAGCATTTAAAAAGACACACCCCGTGTCCTAATGCCTCATTCTGACACACAGG